CATGTTTGCACATATCTTGTTTAACCTAGAAAAGCAAGTCTTGATTGATAATTATTTGTTTTCCATTCTCTAACGGTGCAATATGAAGATCCATGAACCACGTTTGCTTTCTACTGTACTGTATCTCCCACCCGAGTGAATGAGCGATTCAGCTACGGGTGGATATAACACACTGCACGGGGGGAGACTCTTTCACCCCCTAGGTAGTGCACTAGAAAGGTGTCTCTCTTGTCTTCATTAGATTTATTTTTGCTGCACTACAGGGAAAACTGAGACAATCTAAAGAGATCCCCTAAAGAATTACAATTATGATAATATTAATAAAGAAGCATTATGGGCGTTATTGTAGCCGTAACTGTCTTGCAGGGAGAGTTGTGATGAAGAACTGAGATGATATTTCACTATATTTGATTAGATAAATCTATTGTCCTCACTATACTCATTTACAGATGTTTTGTTTTGCTCATCTTTTTTCCCCCTTTTCTTTGACAGAGCGTTCACAGTTGTGACACTCCTGATAATCCTGTCGACTAATAAAAGGTTGATCCCCTAACGAATCTGGCAGTTTGGTCAACGCTTTTCATTTTGCTGTGGGATATGGTGAAAATTAACAGCTTAATATCTAAACAGAGAAGTAATAATTCACCCCATTTATATCGTTACAAACTTTCACAGTACAAAGAATGGAATGACATGAGGGTGAGTAAATGGTTTTCATTTAGGGTGAACTATTGCTTTAATCACAGCAAAGACATGCCTACTAGAAACATTTGGATTTGGAAATCATACATAAAGGGATACTTCACCTCTGGAAAGATGAATATGTATTTAAAATGGGTCATTTATGTAGAAGAAATTTGAATTTGGAGCTTTCTAGAGTGAGAAAAGCCAGAAAATGTATTTTTGGCAGATGTGGATGAAAGACAACAACTCCCAGAATGCACTTGCTTCGCTGCCTTAGAGGCCACGCCTACCGGTAACAGAGCGCAGTCGTTAAACAACAAGTGATGAGTCCGCCCGAAAATGTGTTTGGAGATGGCCCAAAATGTCCGCGATTTGCGTTCTACAGTCGCCGTTCATTCTGTTTCCTGTGGCGAGCGGGACGAGTGAGGGCCGCGGGAGAACGGCGGGATTACCCATGAGCGACACCTGTGAGACAACCGGTCTCGTATCTCTCACGGAGGAGCGGGGATTTTCTTAGCGATGTTGAAACGCACATCAACCGATCACTTGTTTAGCGTTTACATTCAGATTCACCAATCGGAACGAATTCAGTTTGATTGAAACTAAAGCTGTGCATGTAAACAATGAAAAAGCAAAAGCTGAATCCCGGACATCGACAAGAAAAAGAGGACGGTAACCCCGACTACTCAGCTTTCTCCACAGAACAAGAGCCTGCTAGCTTAGCTTCCAAAACAAGATGGCCGACACTATGTGTTCATTCTGTGAGTGAGATCGCCCTCTAGGGGCGGGTTGAGGACATGCGGGACAGACCCGACTACTGACTGGAGTCTTTAGACTCTCAAAATGAAGATTTTTGCGTCATAGGAGACAAAAAATACATAAATCTCTCGTCTCAAGGGGATATGAGGGGGGAAAGCACGGTAATACAAAAATACTACAGGTTTCCTTCTCATACAAAGCTTAATGCTAAATCCTGAAGTATCCCTTTAAATGAGGGGAAGAGACCTCAGCAGGAACACAATGAACCTCACATCCTCCTGACAGGAAACAGAACTTTCCTTTTCTCGTCCGTGTTCTTCTCCTCAGCTACGGTGGCCCAGCGGGGAAACGGCAGAAAATGAACAATGCAAACAAAAGTTACAATTCAACTAATTTAACCCCCTCAGACCTGAATTATGTTTCAAGTTTCTGAAAAATATAAAAGTACATTTTCCCAGCTCGTGAGGTTTCTAAATGAAAACAAATGAAAAAAAAATTTCATTGTGATTTTATTTTTCTCCATTCCAATGGACATCAGGTCAAAACAGGTGTACTTCCCAAAAATGTACCAACATGAAATAAATTAATAAACATAAAATTTGTTGGTCTATACTTTAAGCTTTTTCTCAAGGTAAAAAAAAAATCCAGCAGTATACCATTTCAACTATAATTTTGAGGTTTTTGTTTTACAGATTGCACATTGTTTGTAACAAACTAAATATGTTCGAATCAATCAATCTATCAGAATCCAGGGTTTCAAAAAGATCAGAGAAACTCAAAATTTCTACACGAAAAAAACGCCAGGGGTACCCCTAACTAATGTATTTGGGTTTCTGTTCAAATCCAGAGAAGATATGATCGCTATGCCATGGTGGAGTCTGGTCTGTGTCTTAACTGTAAACTTAAGGTGTCCTTTAAAGGGATAGTTCACTTTGAAATTAATTTTTGATATGTTTTATCTTACCTCAATGGCATCCAAGATGTAGGTGTCTTTGTTTCCACAGTATTTTCAATTTTGACATTTTTTGGTCAAACCGGTGTTGTCTGTCAGTCATATAATGCATTTTTAGGGGGTCCACCTCAAAGAGCAGCACAGAGAAGTCCAAATTAAATATGATTTAATGATGACTCGTGAATGTAAGTACACATTGATGGCCTAAGACACGAAACGAGTGGTTTGTGTGAGAAAATGAACAGTATTTATATCGTTTTTACCTCTTGTTAACAGCCGTTGAACTGATCTGAATCAGATCAGATGTCCAACTGAACCGAACTGAACCGTCTCCAGACGTTACGCCGGAAGTGATCTATCGCGCGTTTACACGGCGATTTCGGGAGTTTTATCTTTCACTAAACCTATTTAGATATATCGAAATTGTCTTCCATTGCGATTTCCCGTATATCAAAATATGTTTAGTTTTTTTAAACTGCATTATTTGACTGACAGACAAAAAATGTCAAAATTGAAAATACTGTGGAAACTAAGACGCCTACATCTTGGATGCCCTTGAGGGAAGATAAAACATGTAAATAAATTAAATTCAAAGTGAACTGCCCCTTTAATGGTGTCACTGATCAACCCCAACTATTTTCAATGATCATGAGCAAGCAGTTTGAGCTTGATGATATACTATATATCACAGTAATCAAGAAAAATAGTACTTTGTGCACACACCACATTTTTGTGAGAGAGGCAAAAAATCTGGGAGCATAAAAAATGTCAGCTCACGAGTTGAATGTATTTGACCGATTGTTCCTGCAACTAGGAATGTGACCACTAGGTGCCGCTAGTTTCACACGGCAAAACCTACTGTGGAAGTTAGTACCTGGTTTATTTTTTTGCTTTTTCCAGTTTTGATGGTTCCCATATTAACTTCAAAATAAATGGGTTGTAATTATAAAGGGTTTATATTTGAAAAATCATGTAAGACAAATATTATACTATATAAAATGATTCTACATTATTATATTCTTATTTTATTTTATATAAATATTTATATCTTACATATATTGTAATATGTTCTTGTCCATTAAATACTACACTGACTGGAGTTGATATGAACCATCATCATGCAGAACGATCATCCTGACATCAGAAAATCCCACATTGAATACACATGTACACAGTACAGCTGTGCCCGGCGAGTGTGTGTAACTCAAAGTCACGCTTGCTGAAGGACGGCTTCAGTCCACCAGTAGGTTGTTAAAGATAAGGATGTGATGCAAGCTTGGCTCAGGCCAGAGGTTAATCTCTCACTGTCATCCTGGAATAGAAGCAGTGGATGCTCTGCTCTGGCTCTCCGCCTGCAGTCTGGATAAGTGTATGTGGGCCCTCCAAACACTGCTTTGGGGTTCAGGTAGACCGACAGAGCTCAGGAACAGAGACGCGGCATGGTCAGTTATTATTAGTGTACGGTACGGGGCCATAGCTGGGCTATCCGGGGCCCGGTGCAGGTTGTTGCTTCGGGTCCCCTTGAAATCACATTTTCCCTCTCGGTTGTAATTTTTAATATGTAATTTTATTATGTAATGTTGTAATGTAATTTTTTTTTTTTTTTTTTTTTATAATTGAGCTGGAGTAGGGGGTATTGTGTTGGGGTCGGGACTAGGGAGACTAGGCATTTTAAATCCATTTTTTTGAAGTCAGATTAGCGCCATCTGTTGATAGAAAATTAAATAAAACATGTCGTTGCATGGTGTTACCACTAGATGCCTGTATAGCTCTCTGTGGAGAGGCTTGCGGATTCTCTAGTTGTTTTTGCACCAAATTACTTATTTTTAAGATGTGATTTGAATGTATTGTTCAGAAATTCTCAAAAAATACTTTTTTTGCCAAGGTTTATATATATTTTTTAAAATAAGTTTTATGTGAAGTGTACACGTTTTTGCATTATTACTAGTCAAACCTGAATGCAGAGCAATTAAAAATGAAAAATAAACAGTAATGTTTTATCAAACCTTACAATTATTTATTTTATTTATTTTTTAAACATTATATATATATATATTAATGATTAATTATTATGAGCACAAGTGTGACAAATTTTTGTAAGACTACTTAGCCTGCTTAAACCATGCCTTAAATATTTTTTTTGTGTTCACATACCCTGCCTATCTAATGCCATAAAAGTCACCAAGTTTCGTAAACTTCAGTGACTAGTCAAACCTAAATGCAGAGCAATTAAAAATTAAATGTTTTATCAAACCTTATTATTATTTATATTATTTATTTTTTAAACATTATATATATATATTTTTTTTAATATATATATATATATATATATATTTATATATTATATTTTTGTGTGTGTGTGTGTGTGTGTGTTCACATACCCTCCCTGCCTATCTAATGCCATAAGTCACCAAGTTTCGTAAACTTTAGATGAAACTGTGATTTTTAGAAATTCAAAACAGAAAACTTCTCTGTCAGAGAGTACCTGAGGTAAATACAGCACTGTTCACGAATACTGTGGTGGTTTGTTAATTACTAGGAGCGCGTTGATGACGCTTGATCAAGAGGAGGAGGAAGAGGAGGCGCGCAGCTCCTCCCACGGGCTTTTGGATCGGATGGATTTACTCACCCGATCTGTAGCCTACTGAATATCTTGGGTGAATCACAATCCTCCAAACACAAGGTGAAAACACGTTGTAGTGCAATATTCATATGAACCATCTTGCTGGAGGTCGTGCCAGTGCCAGTCAGATTGGATTTAAAGCGCCGCGCGCGCGCCCGAAACTTTAATGTGGTTTATTTCCATTAATGTCACACACCTTGATGCGTTGAGTGGGCTGTTTAACATTTAAAGAAAGAGACAAGCAGACGACAACACAAGAGGAGAACACTGGAGAACTCAACTAAGTTACCTGCACTGATCACCTTGCCGACGAGAAGGTAAGAAGGGAAAGAAAAGAAGGAGTCTGGATTAGTATTTAAGCACGTTTACAATCACATGCCTATGTAGAGTAGCCTACGTTTATATTGATGTAGCTATGCATCGCAACAAGTAAACGAAGCTCTGTTTTGTTTATTTAAAACTTCTGATTATCTTTATACACCGTTCCCCTGAAAAGTAGCCTATTTTGTGATTGTAGGCTACCATTTTGATAATAATACCACACTGACTTTAATTTAGGTTATTCCATGGTTTTGAATGTATGTATTTATTCGAGAAATGCCCAGAAAACATACCATTGTAGGCTATAAACAAACTTGGTGCTTTTAGGTAGGCTACTTGACTTGTTAGTGTTTACTAAACGTTAGGTTGAATTCAGGTTGATTGTGACACTTTTTGTCATTGAGATGACCGGGGAAAAGTCCCAATCAACCTGAATTCAACCCTTTGTCTGTTTTCACAGTTACTCTTCACTCAGTTATAATTACCCCGTGTACAGTATCTGTTTACATATAACACACCGGGCAAGTTAACAGGTTTTCTTCTTCTAAAACGGAGCATGTTGTCACACAATATGGGACTGCCACAATGGAATAGTTTTTCAACAAAATTTAAGCTTTAAATTTTCCCAATTATATTTTTTTGTACATTTTTATGAATGTGAACAAAGCAAAATATCTAAATAAATAAACAAAAAGAACAAATAGGCTACATAAACGCGAGATTTCTGAAAAATTCTGTTGAAATCTACCTTGATCAGTTGACTCTTGTCTGATGTGTGGTTTATAGAGTTCAGTTGTTTAGATATGATATTATGATAATATTATTGCAATTTTAGTTTGGAGAACAGTATTTGCAAACCTGTTTTCTAAGGATTTTAATTCGAGAGGACTTTGAACAAGTTGTTTAATCATTCATAATCACTAATAGAGAAAAAAAGCATGTGTATTTGGACGCCTCGTTCACTTCATAGATTACTGAGATATAGCTCCTGTGACAACTAGCCCCAGTCTCATGACCATCTGTGCATATAAGTGTGGGTTTTTATTTTTTCAGTTAAAGAAAAAAGACCCTTTCATACCCTGCCCGTTCTTTATGATGCTGCCAGAATCTAATGAGAGTCTCTGAAACGTTTTGGGCTGAATGTTGAGGGAAGTGGTGGAGACCGCTCCTCAGGAAATGTCCAAGAGACAAAAGACTAACAGTGTTGAGCAATGGATGTTGATGTGTTTCTTCTTGTTCATAACAACACTGTAAAAAATAAACCGTAAATTTTACGGTAAAAAAATGGCAGCTGTGGTTGCCGGAACTTTACCGTTAAAAATACGGTAGGAACGTTAATGGTTTTACAAACTTAAGATTTACAGTAATAAACCGTATTTTATTTTCTGATAAAATGTGGATTTACCAGCTTATTGACTTATTGATATCTAATACACTGACAACCAACAATCATCACAGTAGTGATGAGAGTTACATGAGCAATCACAGCTCATCACAAATGAATACTTGTATAAAACAAAACTTATTTGAACTTATCATTCACACAAACATTAAGCACCATCATGGTAACGCACATGAAATTAAAAAAATGCAATAAACATTAATTTAACAACATTACATGTAACATAAAACCCTAATGTACATAACTGATTTAAAAAAACCAACAACAATAAAACTATGAAGAACCATCGTTATTTCAACAAAAATGCATCAAATTGTGGGAATTGTGGGAATGTCAATATACGTTCTTTCACTGTAAATTATACAATGATTTGTTCTTTTTCACTTTCAAAAACTGTAAATTTAACGGTATTTTACTGTAAAATTATATCACAGTTATTTACCGTGTATAGTACAGAAACTTTCTGTTTACAAATTAACAGTTTTGCACTGTAGCATTTTTACAGTATTTTACTGTTAAAATCACGGATATTTTTTACTGTGAAGGCATTTCAGGTCTCCTGAGAAATTATTGCCTGATTTCACCATTTGGTGTCGTTCAGTCACAAATACGGTCCTCGTATCATCTACGTCAGGTACCGTCATTATGACGGTAACCGTGTTTAACATCCAAACTATATGAGATGGCCGTCTCTCAGAGCAGGTGAGAAGGTGCCAAAACAAAAGCAGCATAATTAGAGAGATAAATAAGGTTGTCTGTGCTCACATTATCTCAGATAAATCCACAGAGGGCCCACCAGAGGAGTTGGAATACAAAGGGCTCGTTTCATCCATGGGAAAGTAAACCCTTCCTCTGCTGAATCCATCAAACCTGCCCCACAGAAACTTTTACCCATTCTTCAATACGTCTAATCAGAAGCTGTGCAATGACTTAATGTCTCTCTATTTTCAGACTTCTGAATCATGCATGAGTCCTTGAATAGAAACAGTGTTCATTTTCTAGTTAGTGTCATGCTGGAGTTGATGAGAGTTTCTGGACTCAAAGTCTGAGGTGGAAAACGTTGAATCTCATGAGGAATGAGTTGTTTGCGAATGGTAAACGTACACTAGTGTTGGGTAAGTTACTCTAAAAAAGTAATTCATTACTAATTACCTCTTCAACAGTGTAATTAGATTACTAATTACTCTCTCTAAAAAGTATTTAATTACTTTTACTTTCAAAATCCCATATCAATCTCAACCAGCTGAATAATACAAGGATAGACATGTTTTAATTCTTTCAAATAAATACTATAAAATTGCATGAATTATCCCTAAAAAGACCAAGGTGGCGAAGGTTACATTATAAAAACACATCAGACAATACATTTTGATGTTAAACCCACTATTGTTTGTTTTATGTCTGATCTCATGACATTTCACCCTTTTTCCATACATATTTTACAATAATTCATACGAATTTGTACGAGTGCGGTCGTAATATTTAGACGCCTCATAAAATGCATACGAATCGCTGTGAGATCGGATTGATCTATACACAGTATTTACCTCAATTACATCAGAAGTAACTGATAAATGAAGAGTAATTAAATTAAATTAAATTTAAATTACAGTAACTAATTACTTAGGCTACAAACAAACTTGGTGCTTTTAGGTAGGCTACTTGACTTGTTAGTGTTTACTAAACGCTTTGTAAAGTAACGTTTAAAGTACACCCAACACTGGCTGCGTCCCATGTGCTGTTGTCATATTATTGTCAAATCACATTTCATCATGTTGTTCCAAAACTGTATGACCTGGGGGGCCTTGTACAGTCCGCGACACTGTTTTCAACTAAAAATGGAAAACTTTTTATGCGTTTTTGCTGGCCTGTAAACGAAAGCTTTTGAAAACTGGATTAAGAGTGCAAGGTTTTGAGATCGATACCGTTATAGTCTCCAAAAACGCTGATTTGTGTAAACGGTGACGTTATGCGCATGTGTATTACGTGTTCAGTTCAGTCTATAGCAGGTTTGCAATTTTACACGATTAATCTCTAACCAAGTTGGTTTGATTTTGAAAACTTTTTTAAAATCTTTAAAATTTAAAAAAAAACATTTAAAAATAAAATGAATGGGGAAAACACTTCTCTGAAGCTAAGCGCTTGGTTGCATGTAGTCTCTTTGCGCACTTGAGGAGACGACCTGGACTGGCAGGAAATTAAGCCGACCAAAAGTATCTTCCTGTTTCTGGGGATCATACCTGTGGGGCGTGGAGGGGCGAGCGGGTCTGCAGTTTGAGCTGGTGGGAATGGGACTCAAAAAAAGCAGACGACTCCTTTTACTCTCCTGTTGTATTTGCCTTATTCACGGCAGCGCCATCTTTGATTTTTAATGAGAATGAAAGCGAGGCTGTGAGGGATAGACTTGCATCTCTTCAATGGGCTGTACTGTTATTTAATGTGTTTTCGGATTGTTCTGCTCATGAAACACTGGAAGAATATCTTTCTAAGAAATGTCAGTTGACTAAAAACTCCCGACAATGTAAGCTGTGGAAAATTGTAAGTAATCTAGCCGCTTTATTCAGCTTTTTACAGCGGATGCCATTGGAAACACGGTACGTCTATCCCTCACAGCCTCACTTTCATACCTGTCATGGCGCTGCTCTGAATAAGGTCTATTCAGGCTTTTGTAAGTTTGTGGAAATCTCAGTGTCAATAAGGTCATATATATACTCTACAGTTCAAAAGTTTGGGGTCGGCTTTTTAAAGAAGTCTCTTATGCTCAACAAGGTTGCATTTGTTTGATCAAAAAGGCAGTAAAACTAATATTGTGAAATATTTCATTAATAATAAAAAAAATCTATTTGAATATTTTTTTGAAAGGTAATTTATCCCTGTGATGGTAAGGTGAGTTTTCAGCATTACTCCTTGATCCTTCGGAAATCACTCTAATTTGCTGCTGAAGAAACATTTCTTATCATTATAAACAGTGCTGCTTCATATTGTTGTGGAAACAATTGTATTTATGAATAAAATGTTCAGTTTATTAAAATGCAAATCTTTTGTAACTTTATTAATGCCAGTACCAGTGTTGGGTTACTCTAAAAAAGTAATTAATTACTAGTTACTAATTACTTCTTCAACAGTGTAATTAGATTACTGTACTAATTACTCTCTCTAAAAAGTATTTAATTACTAATTACTTTCAAAATCCCACATCAATCTCAACCAGCTGAATAATACAAGGATAGACATGAATCTGTTTTAATTCTTTCAAATTAGGGTGAGTAAATGCCGATTTCTCTTTTTTTGGGGCTTAACTGTCCCTTTAAGAATAGGTCAACAGATGTGATGTTAACTTCAGGTGTGTGTGTGTGTGTGTGTGGCGCTTACACAAGAGTGTTACCTCGCTCACACAGGGCCATTTTCAACAGGAAGAAATGTCTGTTAGAGATAATGACTTCTTTTGTTTGACACAGGACAGGATGCGTGTGAATGATTTAACCGACGCACATCTTTGGGGCGCCGTAGACATTGTACTACAGTAAGTGCCGTACGCAAAACCCCCTGATTTCCAAAAACAAAGGATAGTACATCATATCTAATCACCAATACTGAAGGGTTACACCAGTCTTGATCATGCAGAAGGAAGCGTGGAAAAGAAGAACACAGATGCTTTTATTTTCTCATTCACAGTCGAATTTGATTTGTAACAGATCCATCGTGACTCGCAGAGCTGTGCTTATGAGATTCATGTGCATTTGTTCTGAATGACTCAAAGAAATGTGATTATTGTGGAATATGAAGCAGGAAATGCCGGGATATTGAAGATGCTAATGATATGCTAATCTGTCTGTCTGTGTGGACAGAGGTCAAGTCTGGACCGACCGTGTCTTGATGGCCCTCTGTAATTATTGTCATTGAAATCTGTTGTTTTCCGTTGGAGCGTCTGGTGTGTGGTTGACTTATGGGTTTGTGATGGTTTTATTTATGATGCATTTGAGGAAACCTTCAATTATGCTTTAATGTCTTTCTAAAATAAGTAGAAATTAAAATAACCTCAGGTTTTGTTTCTGCTCGCAAGAGTGCCATTGTGGATGTGGCCTGAAGTGTAGCCTACTGTAAGTCATTTTTTTGTGTGGAAAAATTCATCATCAACAAGACACATTTGAAGTCAATAGTACCTTTTGGGTAACTTCATGCATTAAGATTAGTTAATGCATTAGCTGATACGAACTAGCAATGAGCAATATATATATATTTTACAGCATTTTTAAATCCTTGGTAATGTTAGTTAGTTAGTTAATGTTAGTTTAAGCTTAAAGTTAAAATAGATTAAATGTAACTCGACACCCTTGCTCATTTAGTATACGTGCGGTTCTATGAATATGCAAATTAACCCCACCTCCACTCACTCGCACCAGCTCAGAGATTCACTCATTGATGACCACTCGTGGGTCGTTTGTGACATCATTTACACGACGTTGTATTAAAACAGAAAAGTCTTTATTTTGCATTTTTCGTGTACTACAGACGAATGATCCCGTTCACACAGATCCTCAAAAAAACCGATTAATTGTAATTTTATGCATCACATGTCACTTTGTAAAGAAATGCTTCGTGCCTACACTCTTAGAAGAAATGGTTCCATCCCCCGCTTCATATTTGGAACTCCAAAATGGTTCTATATAGAACCATTTTTTTTTTTGGTAAAAGGTTCTGTATGGAACCCCAGGGTTCTATATAGAACCCAGAGGAACCCTTTTTTTTAAGAGTGTATGGAACCTTTTAGGGGTTCCAAATACGTAGCGCTGATAGAACCTTTTAAGGTTCTATATAGAACCTTTTCTTCTGAGAGTGTATAGACTGAACACGAATTGCGCATGACGTCTCTGTGTTCACATTTTTGTGGTTTACACAGAGTTTTCAGAAATGTGCACTTTGAAACACATTTTCAAAGTTTGTATTTTTTATTTATTTATTTATTTATTTATTATATTTATTTAACTGGGACAGTGTATGGCATGCAGCCATACCAGAATTAGCTACAAGCTAAATTTCATCTGTAGTCCCTGGGCAGGAAAGGAAAACATACAACCAACATGAATCCAGCAACACATATAAAACCATAAAACATCATCATACAAGCTTCATGGGACAATTGACAATCAACAGACACATATATACCATAAAAACATCACACAAATCGCCTCTCAGACAACAAGTTTCACACGATCAATGGGTACATGATTGTATAGATTTTAACCATAATTTCACTTTATATTTAAAACAATTGAATGTACTAATGTCTCTAAACTCCTTTGGGACTAAATTCCAGTGTTTAGAGGCACTGATAGAGAAGGCTGATCTTTTTAGGTATTTGTTTATTGTGAAGTGTTACCAACTTTTATTTCAGCTTCACAGCTGCATGTGGGGAACTTGTACTGTATGAACCTTATTCCTCAAGCTGAAAGGTTTGTGAGTGACAGTGGTGTCTGCTGAACTGAGCTTTCGGGCGTATGATGACCTGTAGACTGACAGAAAGGTGCTTTCACATCTGAACATCTGGAGTCCTGTGTGTCTCTGTGTGACCTGCTCTCGACCTCAGACGGGCGTCCACTGACCATCAGATGCAAATTACACAATTGAGCTCTCTTGATCTTATCTGATTGAGGATGGTGGAATCACTGCACAGTATATGGAAAATTTGATAAATACTTTACTGTTCATTAAATTACTATTATTTTTAAAGATTAGCTTTGATCGTTAGATGATGGAAGCTTCTTCCGCCACAGAATAAAAACGAAATAAGGTAATTGCAACTTTTTATTGCACAAAAAAAAATTATTCCAGAATTGTGAGATATAAAGTTGCAATTGAGAGATTGCGAGAGTTTATTTCTCGCAATTGTGTTTATATCTCGCGATTCTGATTTATAACCCGTAATTGCAAGTTAGTCAAAATGATCTTTTAAAATGTTTTATTCTGTGGCGGAAACATATTTAATAGATGACAGCGAAGGTAGTCTAAATCTAAAAGTACATTTAAATATCCAATATCCATAAATGTGTTTTATAAACATAACTTTATTTATTTGATGCCATCGGTTTCAGCTGCTGTTTGATGTATTATCCAGGATGGTTTCATTATGAAAAGATTTAGTACTTTTCATTTCACTTGGCATCGAATGGCAAGGTTAACTCACTTTACTGTTGACCTACAGATTCCTGCAATTATTACTGACGTATTGTTTATGCCCCGGCGCTGTAGGATTTTCTCTGGTATGTTTTCCTAAGGCAAGTTTCCCAGACTCAAAGCTAAACGGCTAAATCCTCCACTGGTCTTTTCAGTGCAATGTCAACACTGACAGTGTAATTTAGTGTAAGAGAGGGTTTCATCTCAGTGTCTTGTTACCCATAATGCCGTTTCTCACAGATGTGTCTCGTCCCTGCAGGTCTGCAGTGTGTGAGTGGGATGACTGCAGATCAGCTGTGGCCTGACTATGGTGAAACACCAACCGTTACAGGTGTATGAGAGACAACTGTGTTTGTCTTGTCTGACCGGGATCTACGGCTGCCGCTGGAAACGGTACCAGCGTTCCCATGACGACAGCTCCAAGGTAACCACAACATCATCTATTGTACTCGGACCGAATGAGGATGATAGAGCCAAAGGTTACGCTGACCTGTGTTGAGTTATTGACCTTTCGCCCAATCATGTCTTCTAATGGAACTCTATGGAGAAACTGTACGTGTCCTCATTTACAAATGTGACCCAAGACAAAGTCAAGTTAATAACTTAATGTTAATTCAATTTCAAATTGATTGAGGTTGTATCAACATTGTAGAGTATGTGTTTTCTTTCATAACTGTTTACGTTCACTCAACCCTGAAACCGAATTCTGGACGAATGTGGGCAAAATAGTTTTGATTTATTTTTAAAAAAATACTTCCCTTGATCTGAGCGGTACAAGACTTGGCTACTTTTCCCAAGTTTGCCTCGTGAACACACACAATTTTTTTTTTTTGACTCAATTCTACAATGTTAAAACTCCTTAATCTTGTATTTGGGTCATAAATGGGCACCCATAGAAATGAATGGGAAAAACTGTAATTTAGAGCATTCTAAAATAAGACACCAGGTGACAGCAAAGTCACTTCATCTTTAGGTTTTAGCTCTAAAAACTTATTGGATTGATATTTTAATGTAGTTAAAAAAAATTCAAAAATAAAACATAAAAATAAGCAAAATTTACATGGAAAATATTGGACTTTTTTTGAAGTAAATAAATTCAAAAATACACTCAATATAAAAAAAAAACACCATAAATGGATAGACAAAACTTTATCGAAGACAGTGATATAACGTTAGGATCACACCTGAGTCCTCTATGTCCACATTTGTCCACAAGTACAGGATTAAGGGCTATAAAGTGAATACGATTTGAGGGCTACAACAGAACTGACTGTGTTTACGTGGAAACTCGCCAAGACCGCATTTTTGACATTATTTTGTGTGAACTTGACTGTTTAAATGCGAAAAAGAACTCAATTTTGTACTGAGAATCGACTGTAAGGACAAAATCTGTGTGAATTAGTGAAATGATGTGCCGAAATTCAAGCCCTGTAACACCAACAATATTCATTCGGAGCGAGTGAGGGGAGGCAGGTTTGTGTGTCAACTCGCTGTCGGAGAGATGAGAGAGAGAAAGCACAGCTGGACCGGTATCATGTAACTATTCTGAGGAGAATGCGTATTGGAAGATATTTCAGTATTGAAATCTGTATTTTTGACAACACTTGCACTTGGTTTTATTATTTCAGATGCCTTTTTAAAAGTCTACAATTGACTATTGTGTTGTGAATGTGTGGAATGCATTTGGCTCTCAATGAGAGCAATATAAAACCGTCTTGAGTCGAAGCTGTTGCTGGTATGTGTCGGCTCCTCCACTCTCGCAGTTTTCCAAGCAGACTTTTGTAGCATTTCTCAAAAGTGTGGTGAGAACTGACCTTTTTATGTTTTTTATGAGTTTGTTTGACCCTTTAAAGGCTGACGGCAGAACCGAAGGGCAACTAGGCAGTCTGTAATGAAGTCTCCTTTCTCCTCTGCTGTCTGTCTGACTGTCTCTCTATCAGAGAGAGAGAAACTCAAGCCAGGGTTTCAGATTCCCTGGAGGACGTGTTGTAGGTCAATTCCAATCTGTATACAACACATCGAGAGGCTTAGTCAGGTCTCTCTTTGACAATGTCTGGGGACACCAAACTGGATACTGACATTATTTCGCAAAGTTATTCAACCGGAAATGCCCGTTATTTTAACCAGGCGTCCATTCCAGCGCAGCGATCAAATGTTCTGACCTGAAGTGAGCCGCGGTCAGATTGGAAATCACACCTTATCTAATCTTTACAGAAAGTCTTCTAATATTCATAGGGTTTCAAGCTTAAATGTTGGAGCAATAATTGATTTAAAGATAAAAATCAAGCTCAGTTTCATCCCGGGGTGATCTTGGACCGTTCTGAACTGCAGAAAAAGATATATAAATTAATTGTATAAAATTAAATGTGTATATACATGTATTTTTTTTTTATTCAGTTAATTTATTTCAAGTAATTGCAATATATGCAATCTATAATAAAATAATATTATTAAATTCTATTGAAATATTGGGAAAAACATCCAGTATGCGGCAGTCCTGTGGGCGAAAATGCCTTGATCATTTGCAAATGCATCAACTGCAAGATGCTATCCTATCAATATGGGCCAACATTTCTAAAGAATGCTTTCAGTACCTTGTTGAATCAATGCCATGTACAATTAAAGCGAAAGGGGGTCAAACACATGAGTGAGTGTGTGATATATATATATATAAATAAAATCAAATTTTTCTTTACACTACTGTGCAGTTAGCAGTATGCTAGTAGTCTAACCTGAATTATTTTTTTTATTTAACTGGTTTGAATCTTGCAATGATTCAGTTTGTGAGTTTTTGTTCTTTGTTTTCACCTGCCCACAAAAAATATCTTTAACAAACATACACACACACACACACACAGACAGACAGTCATTAGTTCATTCTTTCATTTGGACATCTCTAAAGGAACACCTTCGCATTGAGAGCAAACTCATCAGAAGCCCTGTGATTGGCCGGCATTCCGCTGGCCCCGCCCACTCTATAAATAGAGCGCGGTAACGATGTGTCCTCCTCCATGTGCTCATGAGCGGGTCTGGAGGAGTTGATTGGATTGAGGGATTAGCCGCTGTCAGCTGTGCGAGAACGAACAGAACAGTGAAATGTGTCCTTTGCTTTAGCATGACTACACAACAATACACATGACATAGTCAGTCCATTTTTAAATTCTCTATAAGAATCATTAGAAAACTATATGCGAGATGTTTATGCTGGGAGTTGTTAAGGCTTGTCAGATGACTTATTGTGGTCTTTGAATAGAAAAGTTGGTGTAAAGCTTCATTGGTTAAAAATAAGATAAAGTTTAATGCTAAAGAGAATGAACCTATAGTCTTCTCATCTCTCTGATTACTAACACCTAATGTTACACAAGATTTCTATTTCAAATAAATCATGTTCTTTTGAAATTTCTATTCATCAAAAAATCAGTTTCTATAAAAAATCAAGTTTCTAGGTTTCCACTTGTACTGCCGTAACCATGGCGACAGACGTGGACAACTGCATAGTGCGTACCGTTTAGTGGCGTGCAGTTCTCGTTTCTGTCAAACATAGACCATGGCAAGGAGACTTACAAGGAGAATTAAAATGAGGATCAACATCAGCGTGGCGTTTTTGAGATGCCGAGAGCTAGCGTCCGCGACTAGCTTGGACTCGACAGAGCTTCGCGAGTCACGACTTGACAGATTTATTAGACAGGAGAGCAAATGAACTGATATATAACGTTTGCTCAACATGATGAAATGTTAGAATATGGTCAGTATGTTATTCTAATGTTGATCTAGCGCACGGCTAGTTTCGTATACACGTAGAATAACATTATAACTTTCAACACACATTTAAATGCTGTTCAGTGTGATAGTGTAACGTTAGACCTAGTGAAGCAGCGCTGCGTTACCTCACAAGTTTAATTCGTCTAATAAACTGACCTGTGTGAGTTATCCAGCACTTGTGGGTAGTTCGGTAGAATTAAATCTCCTAATTCGTTTACTCGGGTGTGTGTGATATCAGTCTCGCAATCGCGACCTGCATCGTACTACTGTAATGTTAAAAAATATGAATGTTTGCACTCATTTATAAACATTATTAGTAGAGCCCGACCGATAAAGGATTTTGAAGGCAGATACCAATACAAATATTTGATGGTTTTAAAATGCGATATGCCGATATATCGGCCGATATTTATTTATTTATTATTTTTTTTCTCAGAAACGCGCAACAAAACATTAACAGATTTCCCTAACATTAGTTATTTGTAGTTATTTATGAGTTTTAACTAAAATAATATGATGATGCATTTTAAAAAGAAACTTGTTTCTTTTATTGACTGATGATAGTGGCATTAGCTAGCTTTGTGGTTAGCTAGTCTATGATGAGCCATAATTTAGCAATGGATTACATCATACTGCAAATTGTAAAACATACATTTTCAATATAACAGGCCGAGGAGAGATGATGCGTCTCATTGCTGTAACTGCCACGCGCTATTAAAGAAATACTTCAGTCACATTGTCAAAAGTTAAAAGGACAGTCAGTCAACGACACTGTAACAACGTAACGTAACTATTACTAGCTAATTCCGCTTCACTCTCGGCTTATTTAACAGCAAAACTGGACATGATAGTCACAAATTTTGTCCTGCTTATTTGAGTTGAGAGAACTGATGGGGATGATCTTTTAATTGTTATTCAAGCAATGTATGTATCGTGACCAACTCAACGAGTGTAGAGCGCCCTCTGGTGGACAAACTATACAACTCCAACAGTCGTGACATGATTCAAGCGTGTTTCGTCCGTTTTTATTTTATTTTTGAAATATTCATTTATCGGCCATTATAACTGCCGATACATCAGCTTGACTGCAAGTCCCATCATTCAGCTCATCACTGCGTCATCAACCTACGCCTGTGTTATTGTTGGAAACTGCGCCCTCTTGTGGTGAAAAAATCTTACATATTGTGCCTTTAACTCCTGTTAAGAGAACAATGAAGCTCCGCCTTCTCTATCTCTAACCTTGCCTGGTCTCCCGGGAAACATGCGTTGGTGCCAGGCAATGTCTCTCTCTCTCTCTCTCTCTCTCTCTCTTTCTGACAGATCTTGCTGTGCTGAAAATATTCCATTGCTGTTGTAATTTGCTGAGGAGGAACAATGTGGTTTCTATGGTGAAGGAATTCAATTGCCATCTTAAACTCCAGCTCACAATTTAATAAACTCTTAAAAGCTACGGATTTGACCTCAGAGGCTTTTTGCCTTCCCTTGCCACTCTTGATATGTGATAAATTGGGTTTTGGATAATGTGAACTTAATAAAAAGCTTTATACAAATAAATAGATAAAAATCAAGTCTGTATGGACTGTTACTGACACACACTTTTTCTTGGAATTTAGTGTTTAAATTAGGGATTCACTGATGTATCGACTCATAATTGTCATAAAAACAATAATTTTCACTATCATCCAGTCCATCAACAGACAATGATCAGGGAAATAATCTTGTCCGACCGCAACTCGTACTGTGTGTGAAGAAAATGTCTCTTGTGTTGAATTTAGGGCTGTCTAACTTAATGCAGCAATAACGCATTAACAGTTTAAATACTGTTATTGTCTTACAGGTGTCGCTCATTTTTTATGGCTTTTCTCAGTCTAGAAAGCTCCAAATTCGCATTTCTTCTACATAAAAGACCCGGTTTATATATACATTCATCTTTCCGGAGGTGATTCATCTACCCCTTTAAGTTGTCCGTCTCCTGCAGTGCATGTTTGTGTACATCACTTCCTGTTTTTGCTTTTCAGTGGGAATGCTCATGGTTCTTCCTCCTCTGCTGTTCGTTTGTCCTCCTCCTCATCTGGTCCTACTTCTGGTTGGAGGCCCGTAATGACTACAATGAGTTCAACTGGTGAGTTCAGCCTGGAGGAACCTGCTGTTTGGAAGTGACATCGGCTGGTCATTAACTCTAGACCCTGCTGTGTGTCCTCACCATGAAACTGACATATGAGTACACATTTCATTACGAGAGCATGTTTTATAAGTTTACTATGAGTTACTAGTTTAATTGCATGGTTTACGGTCCAAAAATTCGATAGCAAATGAGGTTTCTGAAGTAATTTTACATACAAAGGGTTGAGAAACATCTTTCTTGTGTGTATAAAGGATGCTATGTAACCTCCCTTTGGTGTGTGTGAACCACTCTAATTGGTTTTATTTCGCTGGCAGGTTGTTATATAATCGTTCGGCCGTTTGGAAGGATGGCACAGTTCCTATTCTCGCCACAACTCTCACAGGATTCACTTACACTGCATTTTTAATGGTGAGAGCTCTTCACACACACAATTGTGGCAGAGAAAGGGAGCAGTGCCTTTAAACTTTTTGTAACTTTTTAATTGTCGCAGGCATGATTGATTATATTTGGATTTATGTTTGAATAATTAACCACAGGTTGCTTCTAGGGTCAGGAATTAATTGGCACTTGCACAGTGGTGGCTAAAATTATTAGAACGGTAAGATTTAATATGTAATTTATTCCAGTGATCAAAGCTGAGTTTTCAGCATCATTACTCCAGTCTTCAGAGTCACATGATCCTTCAGAAATCACTCTAATATGATGTTTTGCTGCTCAAGAACATTTATTATTATCACCAATGTTGAAAACAGATCTTTTCAGGATTCTTTGATGAATAAAAAGTTCAAATAACTGTCCCAAATGGCCCAAAAGTGCATTTTCGGTTTTCGGCCGAAAGACTTTTATCACCGAAACAATACGGCCGAAATGTTGTGATGACGCAAACAGAAACCGCGACTGCACGTGCTTGTCTGAAGCAACATGTCTGCGGTGTGGACGTATTGCAGTGTATCTGAACCCGCGATGAGACGGAAACCTTGTTTATCCGCCTATATCTGCTCTTAACAATGCGTGTCGCCATGACGACGACACCGGTTGCGAGCGGGTCAAGAGCGGTGCGCGCGCTGTCTGTGGAGACTCGCGCTGCGGAGGCAGGCGAAAGTATAAACCCAACCGGACTCGTCGTCATGGCGGCGCGCATTGTTTAGAGCAGATATAGGTGGATGAAACAATTAAAAATTATAAATAAGACTCGCGCTGCGGAGGCAGGCGAAAGTAAACAAGGCAGCGCGAGTTTCCACAAACAGCGCGTGCACCGCTCCAAACGGTCGAGGCGTTTATACTTGACGCGCTCTCCGTTGTACTATTCCTTGAAACGACAGGGGACGACTCAAGTAACTGTCCTCTAACCATCAGGAATCGGTTAAAAGAAGACCGATAAATACATGACAATGTTTATTTTTTAGTATTTCACCACCAATACAAAAATAATCATGTAAAACCCAGTAAACCCCGAGATTATTACTTGTGTCATTACAAAAAAATATGTATATGGGAACATGTATGTATAGAACTAAATTAATGCTCTCTTAAATATTTTCTACATTCACTAAACATGTTTCATTAAGTTTCATGTACATTTGTATTAAACATGGACCATTGTTCATTTAAAAAGGCTTTTTATGCTATTGTATGCTAAATTTTTAAAATGTAACTAATTTAGACATGCAAACTGGGTGCTAATGTGATGAGAAGTTTGCGCTCGGCTTTGTTTTTGAGAGAACATTTCATTTTAAAACCTTTCTGCAGGCCAGTAGATTATTATTTAGTGTACACATGAGTGGGGTCAAGTTAAACATTTTAGTTTGAATTTTATTTTATACTGTGCATTGTGCTAAATAAATATTTGCATAATTTGTAATTGATTTATTCTTTGAAAATGTTATATTAATTTATGCAATTGCAATGCCTTGATTTTAGTAAAGTTTGTACACACTCATAGCCATAAATGCAATGATACTAATAATTGGCATAATTTCTTTCGGTGTTTCGGTTTTCGGCCTTGGTTTCCTCTTTTTCGGTTTTCGGTTTCGGCCAAGAATTTTCATTTCGGTGCATCCCTAGTTGTAACCATTAAAGGAATAGAGGAAGAAACAAAGAACAAAGATGGCAAATTAAAAAAAATAACTTGTATCAGTTTCAACTCTGAAAATCTCCAGACGTCTTCCATGGGTTGATGATTAATGTGAGGAAGCAAGATCTTGTAGTGTAGTCCAGCAAACTGGTCTCCTCCAGCAAATCCCATAGACTTTCAATGAATTTAAGGTCTGGACTCAGAGGTACCAATTCATGTGTGAAAATGAAAAATGACTTAATGCTCCCTCCCAAACATTCTTTCACAATTTGAGTCTAATAATGAAATCCATCAATTAGGGTCAGAAGATTTTTTTGCTTATACTGCACACACACAGTATTAATATATGAAGAGTTCAGATGCAAAAGCCTCTAAGTGCCATTTGAAATTGTCTTCTAAAATGACCATTTTTATCAAGCTTGTATATTTAAGTTCAGTAATTTCACTTAAATGACAATTAATCTTCATTGCCATTTAAGTGAAATTACTGAACTTATATATACAAGCTTGATAAAAATGATCATTTTAGAAGAAAATTTCAAATGGCACTTAGAGGCTTTTGCATCTGAACTCTTCACACAATAGTTTGTATATTTTATATATATATATATATATATATATATATATAAATAAAACACATTTATAATTATTATTATTATTTTTTCAGATTCTTGCACTTTGTCACATTGCACTGGGGCAGCAGCTTAACTTATACTGGATCCATAAGGTGAGTCGGAACCAGTGTTGGGTAAGTTACTCTAAAAAAATAATTAATTACTAGTTATTATTTACCTCTTCAACAGTGTAATTAGATTACTGTACTAATTACTCTCTCTAAAAAGTATTTAATTACTTTTAATTACTAATTACTTTCAAAATCCCATATCAATCTCAACCAGCTGAATAATACAAGGATAGACATGAATCTGTTTTAATTCTTTCAAATAAATACTATAAAATTGCATAAATTATCCTTAAACTGACCAAGGTGGAGAAGGTTACATTATAAAAACATACTTTTTAGCATCAGACAATACATTTTGATGTTAAACCCACTATTGTTTTATGTCTGATCTAATGACATTTCACACTTTTTCCATACATATTTTACAATAATTCATACGAATTTGTACGAGTGCGGTCGTACAATTTAGACGCCTCATACAATGCATACGAATCGCTGTGAGATCAGATTGATCTATACACAGTATTTACCTCAATTACATCAGAAGTAACTGTAATTAAATTACTGATAAATGAAGGATAATCCCTTACTTTACATTTTCAAGGGAAATGTAATTAAATTACAGTAACTAATTACTTAGTAATTAGTTACACCCAACACTGGTCGGAACCTCTTTGTCATGGTGTGTTTACACCAAACACGAATAGAGCATCAAACAGGCATTTATCGCGTCTAGTTATGGTATATACACGAATAGAGCGTCACATACGCGTCTATCACGGCTAGTTAGACGCTTGAATCTTCCGCTTGAGTTCAAATTTTTACACTTGTGCGGAAGACGTTCGCGTCAAACACGTCGCCCAATTTACGTCATTCGCAACGCCCGGTGCAAATGATGCGTCTATTTGCATCTCTGCATTGACTTTGTATGTAATCCACTCGTGCAAGTAATTAAATTGGCGCTCGGTGTGAACACACCATAAGTCTGTTGATGTCTGAAACCAGATCAAGGATCTGAATGTAAATTAGAATATTTTATTTCCCACAGATTGTAGTTTTGGCTGTTCTGCTCTCCACCATAACAGGAGTGGTGTCCGTCGATGATTTCTGGCAGGACGAATGGGATATTGTCATCATTTCTCTGCAGGTTGGATCAACATCATCAGCATATTAATGTCTTGAAAGTGTGTTCTGTCTCATGTTTGTGCTGGTGTAGTTCACAGGGCCGTTCCTGCACATCGGGGCTGTAGCTGTGGTCACCGCATTAGGGTGGGTCATCGCCGGTCAGGTGGTCCGTGGAGAGAGATCAAGTGAGTTTGAAGGTCATGTGAGGAGAAATGGCGGATCGGGTCAAGGCCAGGATGGCTGTCGACTGTCACTTGAATCAGGCACTCCTGCACCAATAAATTAATAAATCACAGTTAATTGTTGCTCTTCTATTACACGGTTTCCACAAAACTGTTTTAAACATTGATAATAATAATAATTTCTGAAGGATCATGTGACTGGAGTAATAATGATGGGCTATGGGCTAAAATAGATTAAAAAAATTAAAAACAACTATTACAATTTTTTTTTTCCAACAATGTTTTTTTTTATTGATTTTCCAGTAGAACAAACACTAACCAAATAACAAAAATAACACACAAAAAAAAAAATAATAATAATAATAAGTTACAGAAACATTCCAAAAATATTAATCAGAGCAAAAAATGACAAAATTATGTAACAAAAATATGTCACACTTAAAACATGAATATATGCACGCTCCTATTTCTTAAGGAAATCAATTAAAGGTGGCCACATCTCTTCAAATTGCTGCGCTTTACCTCTTGTAATGTACGTTAATTTCTTTAAAGTAACACACATTGCCATGATATCCTTAATCCAAGAATTTGCAGAATATCTTTCGGTCTCTTTCCAACTCAAAGCAATCATCCTCTTAGCCTGCAAGAGGCCAAAGTCAATAAGAGTCCTCTGATTATTACTGATAGAAAGATGATACAATTACAATATTTAACAGTAGTATTATAATATTTCGCACTTAATTGCTGTATTTTTGAATAAATAAAAGCAGTCTTGGTGCTCATAAAAGACGTCCAGATGCAAAAAATTGTACAAACCCAAGCTTTTGAACAGTTTTTGACATGCATATGTGTGTGTGTGTGTGTGTGTGTGTGTGTGCTCAGGACTCCAGGTTGTAACGCTGGTGCTTTATGTGAGCGTTCTCCTGGTTCTGTATCTGGTTCCCCTCTTCATCTCTTCTCCCTGCATCATGGATCGGTCCAAGCTCGGTCCTCGTCCTGCTGTCGTCGGCCGTCGTGGAGCTCCAATGGTGAGTTTCCGGGACCAAGGGCTTCTTTGTGAAGTTTAGCAACCAATAGAACGAGCTAGAAAGACTGTGTGTATCCCTGCTATAGAGACTTACACATTAAGCTGATTGTATTTTTGACTTCTTCTAAGGAGTGTTAAGACAGTAACTCGCATTACACACTGCCTCTCTCTCTCTCTCTCTCTCTCTCTCTCTCTCTCAGCTGGCTCCAGAACACACTATTATGTCGTTTAGTAAAGCGCTGCAACAGAAAGTCGCTGCCCTGGAAGCAGATGTTACCATTAGGTATCCATTTTGTTGTTGACTTTCTTAATGAAATTTCATATACTTTTTCAAATGAATCTTATTTTATTTCATTTCATTAAAAAAATCTGTTTTTATTTGATTTAAAGGTGCATTGCACAACATTTCATGTTAAAAATACCTGTTTTTCTAACCGCAGTTTTTTTTGTCGCCAGAGGGGGCATAGTTCTGCAAAAACTTTAATTGAATTTTTTTAATTATTTTTTTTATTTATTATTTAATAATAATATATTTTTTAGACAAAGACAAATTGAGAAAAATATTCTTAATAATCTTCCAACATTAGAAAAGGCTACTTTATCAGATTAATCAGCTACCCAATTTCTAATAAATTCTGAATTCATCTAATAATATTTAAGATTTAAAAAATGTTTGTATTTATTTATATTCATGTATTTTGTTGAAATATGAAGTCTTAATATCTCAAATATTGAGAAAATATTCTTAATGAGTTTTTAATTATTTCTAATAAAATATGTATTTATTTAATATTTTATTTTTCTTTGTTTCATGCCTTTTTGAATATGAGAAAAGAATGGCAGCTGCTCTGATTGGCTCTGAATAACCAGACTCTCGTGTGATTGGCTGTTGTTTCTCGTCAGTCTGGATGGAGTGCCTTTCCTGATGAGGGACCGCACACTACGCAGGACCACCGACGTCAACAAACAGTTTCCCGCCCGTCAGGACCACGACGCCTCGTTCTTTAACTGGACTGAGATCCGCAGTCTCAATGCTGGACTTTGGTTCCTCAGGGTATTCAGTTCTATTTCTATTTCCTTTCTCACTTCTGTTCTCTACATGCACCGATAACAAAGATTTTGACGTTATTTGTCCCTCAGGATGACCCGTACTGGACGGTTCAGTACTTGTCAGAGAAGGACCGCAACCGCACGGCCAATCAGACGGTGTGTAGCCTGGCGGAGCTGCTGCGTCTGGCCGCTAGAAGCAACCGGTCCGTGATGTTCAGCCTGCGCCGGCCTCCGCCCCAGCATCCCCGGCACCAGCTCTGGGTCAGCGATGCCCTGAAGGTGATCCAGAGATCCAGCATCCCGGCAGAACAGGTCAGAGCAACACACACAGGTGAAAATATGTAACCCAAGGGCTAGGTTTATCCATATTTGACCCAAATTTGGGTTAAAACAACCCAGCATTTTTTGAGTGTAATATGTATTTATAATAGGGCTGTGCAAAAATTAATTGTGATTAATCGCATCCAAAATAAAAGTCTGCGTTTACATAATATATTTGTGTGTGCTGTATATAATTATTTTGTATATATAAATACCTATGCATGCATGTATATATTTAAGAATTATTTGCGCTTAAATTCTGTATATATATATATATATAAATACATAATCTATATTATATAAATATTTTATATATGAATAACACATTTTCTTAAATATATACATGCATGTGTGTGTATTTATATATACGAAATAATTATATACAGCACACACAAATATATTATGTAATCACAGACTTTTATTTTGGATGCAATTAATCGCAATTAATTTTTGCACAGCCCTAATTTATATATACAAATTAATTATACACAGCACACACACATATATTATGTAAACACAAGCTTTTATTTTGGATGTGATTAATCTTTGCACAGTCCTAATTTTGTCTAAATCTTAATAAGCTTCTAAAATTAGACAAGACCTTTATCAAGACATAATTTTTATGAGACAAACAATTTCTAGTTAATTTATATATAATCGTACTTTAAGACACATTGTTTTTAATATATATATTTTGTAATATGAATTTATAATGTTATCCTCATATTTAGTCTAAATCTTAATTAAATATAAGAAAATTATTTACAAAAATATTCTTATTTTTGTAAATAAGACCTATCATTTTATTAGCCAAATCATTTCTAATAAAACTTTTGTAAATAATATTTGTAATATCAAAATCTATTTATTTAATGTTATCTTAATGTTTAGCCTAAATCATAAATATTTAGAAAAATATTCTTAATAACAATACTGTTGTCATTTTATGAGCCAAATAATTTGGAATACATTCAGAATTTATGTAAGTGTTTAAAAAATAGATTTTTTATATAATTGTAGATTAATGTATATTGAAACAATTTCTAATCAATTCAGAATTAAAATGTCAAAATAAATGTAAAGAATGATTTATTTAATTGAAATCTTTTTTTGAAATTGAAATCGAATTTGTTAAAATCTTGTCTAATATGTCTTATTAGTCACAGTCTACATCTTAAATATTGAGAGAAAGCTTCTAGCATTAGAAAAGACCTTCATCAGCCGAATCATTATTAATAAATGATGAATTTACCTAAAATATATATTTATTTCAATTTTTTTTTTTTTTATATAGTTTGTTGAAATTTTGCCTTTTTTTGAAAATGTTTTTAACGAGCTTCTAAGAGTGTAAGTGTGTGTCCAGGTGATGTGGACGCCCGACTGGTACAGGAAGAAGGTGCATGCCGCGGTTCCTCTCCTTCAGCAAACGTCAGACGAGAAACTTCCTGTGTCTGAGCTGAAAGAAAGAGGAATCAGTACTCTGACCCTCCACTACAGCCAGGCCAGAGCTCAGGAGATCAGGTACACACACACACACACACACATCTGCCTTTCGCAATCTGGATTAAATATCATACTGAAGACATTTTGCAGTGAAATATAACATCAGCTGTTACGGTAAAATTATGGGATACAGTTTTTGGAATAAATACCATTATTTAATATTATATCCATATTTTAATGTATTTATTGCATCTGTATAACATTTTTAAGTTATGTTTATTATTATTGTTAATACTTTATGATATGTTATTATGCATTGGTTTGTATATATTTTTATGTTCTTTAATGTTTTAATGAGATTTTATTTTGGTGCATTATTATTATTATTATTTACTCATATGATAATAGAGCATGTGGTTTTGTTTTGTAATACTTTTACTAATCTCTCTCTCTCTCTCTCTGTGTGTGTGTTGTGAGCAGGCAGTTTTCTGGCAGTAATGTGAGTGTAAACGTGTATACGGTGAACGAGCCGTGGCTTTATTCGCTCATGTGGTGCAGCGGGGTTCAGTCCGTCTCCTCTGATGCCCCACACATCCTGAAGAGAGTGCCTAATCCTATCTGGATCATGGTACAGATCTCTCTCTCTCTCCCTCAGTGCAGTTTTCCTCAGATTTGGAACGCCCGTCATTCATAAAGTCCTACGCATCGGCCGCATATTCATTGAATGACTAATTTGATTATGCCCGTAAGCTTCCAAGGAGGCTGTAGTGAATCTTGGCCCCGTTTAACTCATTTTATCATCCAAAAACGACACAGATAATGTTCAAAAAATCTCTAGATTGAGTCTTGGCATACTTAATATATGATGCAAGATTAGTAATTCAGTATTGGTAAATGATGCAACTTATTTGCATCAGAAAATGTGTGTTGAGTGCCGGGACGTGTGGCCAATATCAGCTCCAGGGAGCATGCATACTTACAGAAAACTTGAAAATAGTACTTTTGCATACTGATTTTAGACTGAATATTTATTATTATTATCCATTATAAAGTTCAATAAATTATTTATATATATATATATATATATATATATATTTATATACTATATGTGTATATATATATATATATATATATATATATATTTATATACTATATGTGTATTATATATATATATATATATATTTTTTTATTTTTTATTTTTTTGTTGTTAAATTAAATATATTTATATACTGTATATATATTGTTTTTTTATTTTATTCTACTTTACTCTTATTCTATTCTATTCTGCCTGTAATGTTTTTCTCTTGATAAGCTCTTGTCTGTATGTATATTGATATCTAATGGCAGATTGCTGCTGTAACATGTGTTGTAGAGCGCAGATGAATATGGCCTGATATGGATCACTTCAGATTTAATCTCAGTGGCGATTGTCATTGGCATTTTCATATTTCAGAAGTAAGTGCATCTCTTTTATCATGTGCTTTGAGGTGTTTCTCAATATTCTTGAATACTGGCATCAGTTTGCTTTAGCTGTGTGTGTCAGGAAAGGCTTTAATGTGTAGATTCTGCTCTCACACACACACGTTCAGAGCGGTCCTCGGCTGTAATGTTAGCTTGTTGTAGTAAATCCGTGTGCCGGCCGGGCGCTTCTCAACTGATTGCTGTGCTCTTTTCTCTTTGGCTTATTTCTACTTTCCCTCTGTTTTCTCGCTGTCCTCTGCTCTTTGCATGCGCCTGCTGATCTTGCTCAGCTATCACCTGATCAGGTAATGAGGGCGAGTATTTTAGGGACACATTTTTTCTTAGGTGTTTACTTAATTTCTTAGCTCTCTTTAACCTTCTGAGTAATTCTACCTTACTTTATCTCATCAAATATCTCAAGAAGTGTGTTTCTGTGACGGTGTGTTGTCATGTTATTTCCTCAGGTGGAAAATGAGTGGCATGCGCAGCTACAACCCTGAGCAGATCATGCTAAGCGCCGTAGCGCGTCGGCCGAGCCGTGACGTCAACCACATGAAGGAGAAACTGATCTTCTCAGGTGAGACGCACCCTGGCTAGTGCACATGAACACTGTGAGCTCACTGTGGTACACACCGCCTCCTGCTGGCAGTCATTATTATGCACCACCAGTATCTATATTTATATACTTCACACTTCACAATTAGTTAAAGGGTTAGTTCACCCAAAAATGAAAATGAAGTCATCAATTACTCTCCCTCATGCTGTACCAACCCCGTAAGACCTTCGTTCGTCTTCGCAACACAAATGAAGATATTTTTGATTAAATTTGCGAGGTGGATCACTAATACTTAGGCTGCCTGAGGGATCGAAACTTGGCGGCCCAGAAAGTCATTAAAGAAAATGTTTAAATATTCAGTGGCTCCACTATAAGCTTATCAAGCGACGAGAATACTTTTTGTGCGGAAAAATAAACAAAAATAACAACTTTATTCGACTATTCCATTACTAAGCTTTTGAATTTGTAAATATGTCTGCAGATTTCAACGTAGATGAAGACTTGCACTTTTTTAACCAACCTATATATATATATATATAGTTATTAATAAATATAATCTAAATATTAGAGCCCGACCGATAAAGGATTTTAAAGGCCGATACAAATATTTTTTGGTTTTAAAATCCGATATTCCGATATATCGGCCGATATTTTTTTTTAAAACATTTTTTTTTTCAAAAACACGCAACAAAACATTAACAGATTTCCCTAACATTAGTTATTTGTAGTTATTTATGAGTTTTAACTAAAATAATATGATAATGCATTTTAAAAAGAAAGCTAGCTTTATGGTTAGCTAGTCTATGATGAGCCATAATTTAGCAAATGGATAACAAATTGTAAAACATAAATTTTCAATATAACAGGTCGAGGAGAGATGATGCGTCTCATTGCTGTAACTGTCACGCGCTATTAAAGAAATACTTCAGTTACATTGTCAAAAGTTAAAAGGACAGTCAGTCAACGACACTGTAACAACAAAACGTAACTATTACTAGCTAATTCCGCTTCACTCTCGACTTATTTAACAGCAAAACTGGACATGATAGTCACAAATTTTGTCCTGCTTATTTGAGTTTAGAGAACTGATGGGGATGATCTTTTAATTGTTATTCAAGCAATGTATGTCTCGTGACCAACTCAACGAGTGTAGAGTGCCCTCTGGTGGACAAACGATACAACTCCAACACTCGTGACATGGTTCAAGCGTGTTTCGTCCGTTTTTATTTTATCTTTGAAATATTCATTTATCGGCCATTATAACTGCCGATACCGATAGTTTGGAAAATGCCTAATATCGGCCGATAATATCGGTCTGGCTCTACTAAATATACATAACAAATAACTAAATAATATTATTTTGATTAATAACATTTATTTCTTTATATGTATATTATATACATCTCATTTACTGTTCCATGTAACATTTATATGATTATGGACCAAAACATTAAATGATTGAAACCAACCGAAATGTACAGGCAGTTTTCAGTGATTTGGAGAAAAGAGTCTCATCACTCAGTGTCTCAGTCTTTATATGGCCAACAGTCATTTGAGGACCGCCGGGAAATACATTTTTTCGTTCATGGAAATAAAGTAATATGTTGTAAAACGGCATGAACGAATAAATAAATAAATAAATATTTAAAAAAAAAATATATATATAGAGCCCATATCACCCCCTAGTGGAGAAACCTTACTTCTGTTTCATTCTCCAGAGATCAACAACAGCGTGGGTAGCTCCGATGAGCTCTCCGTCTACACCGGAAACGGACTGGACACGTACTCGCACGAGGACATCATGATGCCGGCACGTCATGCAGCGAAACTGTAGTGAAGACTTGAACCCATTTTATGGGATGAACATCTCAAGCTCAAAATCACTCACTTTTTTCGACCGAACGCTCTGATGGATGTTTATTATGAGCGGTTGTCGTCGGTTCACAGACTCTCTGAGGAATGTTTTCCACTCATTCAGTGTTCTGCTTTGATGCCTTATGTAATGATGTATTTTTCTGTATAAAACCGTATTTCAAATGGAGCTGAGTTATTGTGCACTGTAAATTTTAGTGTCCGAACTGTTGAGAGCAGGTAATAAAAGTGTCCTATTATTAATGTTCTTGAAGAATAATGGGTTTAATGTTAATGCATGCAGAAATCACAGGTTCAGAGATTCGAACCCCAGCTTGATTGTAGGCTGATATTATTTATTTTTTATTTATTTTATATTTGTAAAATATAATTTGCTTCCTGATGATTCATATCTCATTGCAATAGATTAAGATTTCTTCTACGTTGCTGTATTGATGTCTTTTTTTAAGTGATTTATTTTGTAATGAAATCTCTTGCGTTGACAGTGTTTTTATGGAGTTTTGAAGTTAATTATTAAGTTTGAAGAAATTAAACAGTAGCCTATATCAGATGAATTCTGCTACTTCACGCCACTGTTCTGCAGTAAAGAAAAAAGGCTGAGTACTTAGTAGTTGACGGGAGAATTAATTGAACAAAATGATTCACTGTTTCAAAGTATTAGAAACGACACCTGCTGGTCAGAACAGTGTAACTGCAGTAGAAACTCAGGCAAAACATGCATAAAAACACCTTTTACAAACCCATTGCAAAAGTTTTACTGAAGGTCAAATCTGGCAAATGCGTTTAACTAATCATCTAACAACATTAAATATAAAGTGTCGTTATTAAAGCTTCATGAAGCAAAGTTTCGGAATGATAAATTCCGAAGAGGTTTTCCGAGGATGCGCGAAAACGACTAAAAGCGCTGTATTCTGCTGCCAGGCCATTAGATGGCGATGAAACCGAGTGCCCAAGTTATGACGTCACTTTGTAGGCCAAAACGCGGAAGTGAGTTAGCATTTTAGCACTATCGGCGGTTCCTTCGCTCTAGGGTTTTTGCTAAATCGCCTGAAATAAGGTATGTGGTGAACAAAGCCTCTAATTTTTTTTCACGTTTTGATCTTTGACATAGAACACACCAGTTTTAACCTGCTTGTGGTTGTTTATACTTTATTGTGACCTGCTTGTGTTTTTTGATTTTTTATATATAGGCTTCAAAATGTATAAATGTTGGATTAACTTGTAAAGATTATCTTGATAGACAAAACGTGTAAGGGTCACAACTCTTTGTTGAACACAGATCTTATTTTTTGCGATTTTCCAAAAGTCTATGGGGAAAATGCATAGCAGCTTTTCGATCGAGGGAACCCATGCGCCGCTAGCTTAATCCGAGTTGTCCTACAAAGTGACGTCATCAGTGATTCACGTTTTTTTTTCTGTTTACAAGGAGACGGTTTTCAAAAACGTCCACTTTGAAAGCTGCTTTCAAAAAAGTTTTTTGTTTTTTTAGGCGCCCAAAACGCCATTGTTGTGTAAATGAAGGGCGGTGACCTCAACCCATGCCTTGCTCTGATTGGCTGTAGCTCATGACATCACTGAGGTTGAGTCGTGGTCGTGCGACAGCTCTGGAAATATAGCATGTTTATTGTAATAAGAAAAAGTTAAAAATAAAAAAATAAAAAAAGATGTTTTTCTGGGCTCGGCGACGCGTCTGCGAGCGTCTTTGATGCGTTGTTGGCTCTTTCATACTGAGCTGTCGTCGTCGGCGAGCTCAACGATTTGCAAATCGGGCTTAAAACCATGTAGTGTGTGAACTAGGCTTTAGTCTCACAGAATGATACTTTAGCTTTATAATGTCTAATTTTTTAATGCGATGTTTAGCCTACACGACACCATTTTCAAATAAAAAAAATTATTATTTTCATGTTTTTTGGCCGTTCATTTACACGATCAACCAGCGTCTTCATGGGTGCCTGAAAACGCAAACTTTGAAATGATTAAAAGTGCAATTTAAAAAAAAAAAAAGAATACCATTATCACCTCCGTGTAAACTAAATTGAATTCTTGTGTCTAAATTTTAATGTTAATTTTAAATCTTACTGATATCAAACCATTGAACGCTAGTGTATAATCATTAACAAGTCTATAGTTTATGCATATTCAACAATTATTTGAATGTGCATTAACTAATGATTAATAAACCACTATATTTCATATTTGGTAATGTCAATAATGTGAGTTATTATAAAGAGTCACCGAAAATGATTTGCCAAACACTTTTGAGTTACTTGTGCAATGATAGTTTGCCTATTTCTTCTGGATGTAGTAAGTAATCTCTCACACTAGATGGCAGCAACAAATCAGGGCGTATGACCCAGAGCATTTCTGATCTCTCTCTTTTTAGCATCTCAGTGACACTTTTACATTCAGGAAGCCACCTACATTAACTGTGTCTGTACCACTAGCCATCACTGTATTAATATGACTGGATATGTAACAGATGAAATTAGTATGATATGAAGAATTCTTTTTATTGCATAAAATAATGCATTTGTAATTACAGTAGTTTGTTTCGTCTAACATGTGCAAGGCAAAGTTTAAATGGTTTACATGAGCAAAGCTTTACCTCTCTCACCATATTTACAGCATATTTACATGTTTCATCTTTAATATCTGTAATATCTCCCTCTCACAGTGTCCATGATGTGAGTGTCATCAGAGGCAAACCCCGGTCCAAAACTCCTTAATGCAACAGATCTGAAACACAAAGGCTTCTTTACACTCAAAACCTCCAGCCAAAATAGGTTGTGGTCAGCGGGTAAGAGTTTTTGCACCAACCAGCGGCAGGCGAGCGCAAAAAAAAAGCATTATGCACGGCTGTGGTTTATGCTTCTGTTACAGGTGGGCTGAGAGGGGCCAATTGGGTCTCCGTGTCCTCTTTACTGTTGTCTGAACAGTCCGATCCGATGTAACAGCCTGAGTCTCTGGGACAGTCGTTCAGTTCCACTTTGACTTCTTCAGAGGGAGATTTGGGCTCCTCGTTCGGCTCTCCCAAGCTCTGATTATTATCTGCGTCAGAAAAAAACAAGGCTTTCACAACAAGCTCCGGTCTCGTAGACACACAGACGTAATGATGACGCAATCAGGTGATTGTGCATAGACATTCATGCATTACTTGGAAGTATGTTGTTATAACACACAGCGCACGCAATGTTTTACTGTGTATTGCAAAGTTTGATGCAGTTTGTGAGGTGTGGCTGTATAAGACGGATACACACACACACACACACACACACTGCTCAACACACTTCCTGTCGGGTCTTTCATCATATGCAGGCAACTGGCCTCAATGACATTCACTATTTTCCACTAGCATCATTTTTTTTTTTTACGGTAATGAAAAAAAACAAAAAAAACTGAGACCCCTATTCTAGTCATTTATAGATTTAGTTTATATTTATAGTTTATATTATCCATTTAAATATATTCCATATCCTCTTTTTTACAAATTAATTTTATTCAATTTTTTTCTTTGACAATTTTCTAAGATGTAATATTATTAATTTAAATGTATTAAAATATATTGTTTTATTTAAATGTGTAAATATAGCATTCAGAAAAGTATAAAAAATATATTTAAAAACTATTTTCTGAAAATGTACTTTTTCTGTGGTTAATTTATCGTGTCATGACATAATGAACAAAACAATTTTATTAAAATATTTAGTTTATTCAATATTTTATATTATTAAATATATTTAAATATTAAATATATTTAAATATATTCAAATAAATATTATTTAATAATATCTTATTTAAATGTATAGGATTTCATTTAAAATATATATTATCTTTGTTTTGTATTTAATTTTTTATTTGACAATTTTCTAATATGTAATATGATTCATTTAAATATATTAAAATATCTTATTTTATTTCAATGTGTAAACATTATTAAAAAAATAATGTGCATTTTTGACATTGTTTAAAAACTATTTTCTGAAAATGCACATTTTCTGTGATTAATTTATTGTCATGACATACTAAACAAAACAATTTTATTAAAATATTTAGTTTAAATATTTATATTATTTATTTAAATATATTCAAATACATATTATTTAATAATATCTTATTTAAATGTATAGTATTTCATTCAAAATATATATTATCTTTGTTTTGTATTACATTTTTTATTTGACAGTTTTCTAACATCTAATATGTTTCATTTAAATATATTAAAATATCTTATTTTATTTAAATGTGTAAAAAAATAATAATAATGTGCATTTTTGACATTGTTAAAAAACTATTTTAAAATGTACTTTTTCTGTGGTTAATTTATTGTGTCATGATGACATAATAAACAAAACAATTTTATTAAAATATTTATTCAAAATTTGATATTATTCATTTAAATATATTCGAATACGTATTATTTAATAATATCTTATTTAAATGTATTTGATCTCATCTTTGTTTTGTGTTCAATTTTTATGGCACCACAGCTATGATACACCGAGTGGAAGAAACTAGATTTTTATCTGGGGGAAATGTGTTAAAACTGGAGCTTTCAGGCTGTCGCTTCACCATTGTGGCTTTGATGAGGTTTGTTTTTGAGCTCATCCTACGTCAACACTTTAACTGTGAGAGCTTTAATATAAAAGTGAAAATTCAACAACAAAGATAGTATCATTTATGTGCATTTTCCTGACATGTTATGAAACATTTTTCTGCCTTTTGATGTTCAACCACGTACATTCAGGGTCCTGCAGGCTTTCCGCCGCTGCGAGCAGCAGGTGTCTGTGTTCGGGGTCGGTCACGTTCAGCTCTAAGAGATGCTGCTCCTTCAAATCCCGAAGATCGTCCACCGTCTGATAGCCGTTCAACAGCAGAGATGAAATGTGCTCCTGCAGTAACAATTTGATCTGTTAAAGCCCCACCAACTTTCATAAACTTCACAGGTAATACATAACATCCTGTTGATGAGATCTCTGAAAGAGAATCTAACAAGCTAATGGAGGTTGATCTTCAGATACAGTATTTAGTTGTACCTCCAGATTGAGTCTTTCCAGAAACTCCTGAAGGGTTTTGGGTCGAGGTCTTCTGCTCCTCCGGTGAGAGCGAATCCTCGGCTCCGGCACGCTTTCCTCCACCAGCGCGTCAACGTAGATGAACTTAAAGTTTCCCACTTTACCGTTCAGCATCCCAGTCCAGATTCCCATTGCAGGTTTACTGATGATCTCAATCACATCTCCCACCTTACGAACGAAAAAGAAAACACGTTCATGGAGAAACCAAATGCAAACGAGCTTGTTACTCGTCATCTCAGGGTGTTTTTACCTTGAGTTTTAGAGAGTCTGAGTCAGACATAATTCTAATATGCTGATTTGGTGCTCAAGAAACATTAATATCAATGTGGAAAACTGTTGTGTTGCTTAAAGGGATACTTCAGGATTTAGCATTAAGCTTTGTATTAGCAGAAAACCTGTTGTAGCCTATCTTCGTATTACCGTGATTTCCCCCCTCATATCCCCCTGAGACGAGAGATTTATGTATTTTATGTCTGGAAAAAAACGTCATTTTGCGTTTTGTCCAGAGTCTAAAGACTCCAGTCAGTAGTCGGGTCTGTCCCGCATGTCCTCAACCCGCCCATAGAGGGCGATCTCACTCACAGAATGAACACATAGTGTCGGCCATCTTGTTTTGGAAGCTAAGCTAGCAGGCTCTTGTTCTGTGGAGAAAGCTGAGTAGTCGGGGTTCCCGTCCTCTTTTTCCCGTCGATTTGCTTTTTCATTGTTTACATGCACAGCTTTAGTTTCAATCGAACTGAATTCGTTCCGATTGGTGAATCTGCATGTAAACGCTAAACAAGTGATCGGTTGATGTGCGTTTTAACATCGCTAAGAAAATCCCCGCTCCTCCGTGAGAGATACGAGACCGGTGCGTCTCACAGGTGTCGCTCATGGGTAATCCCGCCGTTCTCCCGCGGCCCTCACTCGTCCCGCTCGCCACAGGAAACAGAATGAACGGCGACTGTAGAACGCAAATCGTGGACATTTTGGGCCATCTCCAAACACATTTTCAGGCGGACTCATCACTTGTTGTTTAACGACTGCGCTCTGTTACCGGTAGGCGTGGCCTCTAAGGCAGCGAAGCAAGTGCATTCTGGGAGTTGTTGTCTTTCATCCACATCAGCCAAAAATACATTTTCTGGCTTTTCTCAGTCTAGAAAGCTCCAAATTCAAATTTCTTCTACATAAATGATCCATTTTAAATACACATTCATCTTTCCCAAAGATCGAAGAAGTCGTTTGTATTGAGTCGAGTTTGTTTCTTGTCGCTTAAGATCTCAGGTTAGAGTTCTTACCTTGAGTTTGAGAGACTCTGTGTCATACGGACTGGGAACAAAGTCGGTGTGGACCTTGGCTCTCCCGCAGAACTGTCCTGTATAGGGCACGTCTTCTTCTAAACGCAGGCTGTCCCTGTTACTATAACCCTCAGAGCTGCTGGTCACACCACCTAAAACATCAGGAAATGCAAACACAAACCACATGGCTGAAATGTTAAGAGCACGTCTGCACCAAAATATCAAATCAGCAATTTGATCCGGTTTGCAGCTCTGTTTTACTTTTTAAAATGCAAATGGCCCAATAATAAGTGATTTACTAGTTGTAGAAGATCAGCTTACTAGATGAGCTCTGGCCGCTGTGCAAACTGAACAAACTCTCCACCGAGTTGCTGGAGTGTTTGCAGGCTTTGGCCATCGTACCGTCCACAACATCAGCCGCCGCAGCTTCGTTCTCCTCGCCCTGTGAGAGACATCAGCGTTCGTGAGAAAAAGTTTTTTTTTATTTTTTATTATTGCTCAAAAAAACATACAAAATACCAACAAACATCAAGATACAGATCTTAAATGATTACAAAACAGTCCAAAAAGCAGCACAAAAAAATACATGAACACCATAAATCTAAGAAAAGAAAAAAAATAGAAAACAAAAACATGTAAAGAACACATAAATAAACAAGTAAATAAATAAAATATTACACAAGGGGGGAATCATCAAACAAAATCTTCAGAAGATTAAATAATTTAAGGGTTTTTTTTGTTATGCACCAGTCTTATCAGTAAATCTTTATGGAAGAGACTGAAAGTGGGAGGGTTCTTAAAGAATCTGCATTTGTGTATGAAGTAATTGGCCAACAGCACAATACTGTTCACCAAAAATTCAAGATCGTAACTCAAAGCCAGAGACAAATACTTTATAGTTTTAAATTTAAAGTCAGGTATTTCATATTTCAATCTTAACCAATTATAAAGGTCATGCCAGAATTTCTTTGAGAATTTGCATAAAAAAAATAAATGTTCCAACGACTCTATGTTCGTTTCACAAAAGGTGCACTCATTACAATCCATATTAAATCTGTGTCTTAGGAAAGCATTACAAGGATAAATATCATTAATAATTTTAAACTGAACCTCTTTTACCTTTGCCATTCATTACATCAAAATCAATAAAATTCAAACCTCCCTCACTGAATGGCTTCACTACATCTGAATTTCTTATGTAACGGTGTTTGTTTTTCCAAATAAATTTTCGTGAGAGAAAGTCGGTATTTCCGGTGAAGGTGTAAGGATGCTCGATAAAGGTGTAAGGATGCTCGATAACTTGCGCCGATCGTTGAGTCCAATGCAAAACCGAATTGAATTTTATAGTCCATGGTTATACTAAAGAAACGTTAGTCACAAAAACAGATAAAACAGACACCCGTCGTTGTGTTTATGCTTCTTTTTAAAAATATATTAAATAAACATAACTATATATAAAATTACATCTAAACGTATGTACGTTTCGTTTCAAAGACGGTAAATTTTGAAGACTCTGCCATAATCCCGTTTTCCTCGGATTTCCTCCGCTTTAATCTACACAACCGGAAATGGACGAGCATCCTTGCGTCAAATGCGGAGCAAATAGCCCATTCGTCAACGACATTATTTCACAGACCAAAACGAGACGATAACTAAATAAAACCTAGTTTTGAATGAGAAAACTGACGAAAATAATTTTCGTTTACGAATAAAAACTTGAGGAAAATGTCGATCCAGTCAGAACTGATGTCATGCGCACATTTGTAGCCTACTGTAACGCGCTGATCTACCCCGCGGTCTTATAAACGTTAAAAAATGTAAACGTCAGGGAGAATGAGTACAGCAGACTGAATAAGACTGACGATGCAAAAAAAACCATACACAATAGTCAGCGCGCGAGGACTGAATTGAGCGCTCTTTCGTGTCTGAATGGGCTAATGCACACAACATTATCTCTAAATGTCCATTTTGGAGAGTATTCATGTTAACTATGTTGGTTATGTCTTAAACAGATGTGCATCAGTGCAATTGGATCCGCATGTCATTGGATGCAAACGAGGACATGATCTGATGTCTTAAAGTGACAGTAGGTAAGAAACCTCATGCTGTCTGTGTCATCAAGCAACAACAAAAAAAGAGAAAGGCTTTCACTGTTTGTTAATAGCTTATTTAATTCCTACAAATAAATATGTCTGCTTGAAAGAATAATGATGTTTGCAAGTAGGTATAAAGAATGCTTAAATCATGTTTTACTTTAGGAAAAGTAGTTTTATTTAATTTTAAGATGTGCTTAAGTCACCTTAGTTAAATCTGTATCTGTGTTCAAACTTAAAAATCATTAATAGGTTAATAGATGTTTTCTCGGGGAGTATACGAGTTTAGACGTTTTAGAGAAATTCTAAATTAATGCGTTACAATTTAACTGAAAACTAGGGCTGTGGAAAAATTAATTGCGATTAATCGCATCCAAAATAAAAGTCTGTGTTTACATAATATATTTGTGTGTGCTGTGTATAATTATTTTGTATATATAAATACAAACACATGCATGTATATATTTGAGAAAATGTGTTATTCATATATAAAATATTTTTCTATATTTATATAATATAGATTATGTATTTATATATATATATATATATATATATATACAGAATTTAAGCGCAAATAATTCTTAAATATATACATGCATGCATAGGTATTTATATATACAAAATAATTATATACAGCACACACAAATATATTATGTAAACACAGACTTTTATTTTGGATGCGATTAATCGCAATACATTTTTGCACAGCCCTACTAAAAACATTATATTTTAGTCGACTAAAACAATTCAGATGACAAAAATATGACTAAAACTAAATCAAAATTTGCTGTGAGAATGAACACTGGTCCCATCCTAAAGCTGATAGGTGGGTGACAGGTCTTCAGGTACAAAGTCGGGGTCGTGCGAGGCCGCTCAAATGAGCAAAGTCTTAAATCCGCGAGAGCTGCGATGCCATTTTTACCCCAGACATGTAATCCACCCACACAAGCAGCTCTAGCACAGCGGCAAATAAAGACAGATTCATGAACAAGGTTTAAACAAATGAGAAAACTACAGAGACTTAGTTCTTGTTTTTCCTGCTTTAATCCACTGTTTACTCAAGATAAATGTAGGAGGAGAAACTTACCAGTTCTGCAAAAAACTTTTACTCTTCACTCAAAAAAATAAAAAATTAAACCCAAACTGACTGATAAAAAAAGCTAATTTGCACCTACACTATAATTAAGTCTTATTGATGAGGATCTAAGGAAGATTTTCATAGATAAACATCTTTTCCTCACATGAAATCTAAATATAACATGCAGGTCACACACTACTTTTATATTACTTTTTTATGGATCTCGACAGCCCCAGACCCTATTATATAAAATTGCACTTTGGATATTTTACAAATTATTTGTGCTGAAAAAGTTACCTAGAAATCAATTCATTGAGCAACCAATGATAAAACATCTCAAAATGCTATAGAACCCAAGCTGAACCTAAATAACCTAAGAATAAAGCTCTTTTAATAAACACGAGTTTTTTTTTTTCGAGTACACAGTTGGTGAGTTTTGCTTTTGTTTTAAAGGTTAAAGGTGCTGAGCTGTCAAACCAGCGCTCACCGTTTCCTCTGACAAGGCTTTAGTGTATTTCCGGCCCATTTTTTTACGCATGGTCAGCGAGATGTTCTTCATCTTCTTTCCGAGACCTCCTGATTTACTGGGATCCACCTCCGCTGCTTCCACAGCCTACACACACACACACACATGCATGGAGTTCAATGCAAGACCATTTTTTACAGTGTTTATATGTGCATTATTAAAAACAGAAACACTCACCAAACTTTCTCCCTTATCTTCTGCTTTGACCTGGGTGACCTGCTGTCTGTCAAACATCCCAAAACTGGTGGATCGCTGAAACACAATGAATTAAATCGGATAAAGTCTTTGATTATCACGTCACAGAAGAGATGACTTTATCTCATGGAACTCAAACAGAAAAGGTCAAAACAGAATAACAAACTGTTTAAGCGAGCGAACTGTTAGTACTTGCGTAATGTCTCCTTTCACCACAATAGATGGACAAACTGTTTATTTCCGGAAAAAAACAAAGTTTTTACCTTGGGTTTGTTCCTTGATTTGTCAGAGACATTGGATGGTTTCCTTTGAAGCATTTTGTCAATTGTGTCAAATGTTTTTCTCTGACAGAAAGCAACTCAACTCTTATTGAAGACACCAGCGCTGGCCTCACACACGCAGTCGAGTCTAAACACACTTCCTCAACCGCACACAGGATGTGAGTGTCTACTCTGACATCTCTAATCACTGACTTTAAGAGAAAATAATGTGAGCTCATTAACATCAACTTTATTAAAGATAGGCTGATATAATGTGTATGTGATCGTATAGATAATAAATCACGGTAGCATAGAGTTTAATTAATATAAAATTAATTAATATTTACCTTACCATTCAAAAAGGGGGTCAGCAAGATTTTTTGAAAGAAGTCCCTTATTTTGCATTTATTTGATCAAAATACAGTAATATTGTGAAATATTATTACAATTTAAAATAACTTTAATGTGTTTTATTCCTGTTATGACTGTTTTGTCTTCCTCCAGTGTTACACGATCCGTCAGAAATCATGATTTAATACTCAAGAAACATTTCAATCCATCTTCAGGAAACTTCAGGATTTCGTTTGATGAATAGGCCACAACAATTATTTGAAATGGAAATAGTTTGTAACATTTTAAATGTCTTTAATGTTCCCTACTTGATAGTTGATACATTTACTGTAATTATTCATTTCTAAAAATTTTGAACAGTAGTGCATATTACACTAAAAACCACATATATTATTTCATCCTTAAAATATGAGATATAAAATATCAGTTATTTTGATATTAATTTCATTGTCATGGACTTTTAAATTTGTTTTCTCAGTCACACGTTCTCCTTTGTTTAGTTTCCCGCCACTTATTAATTACTGTGGAGATTCACTAATCATCACAGGTGTTTGTCATTATTTCCCTCATTTGCTTTGTATTCAAGTCTTTTCAGTGTTCATTTGTCCGGTCATGTTTATGCATAATGGTTGGTTTTGTTTGTTTATCTTGTTTTGTATTACCTTCTGAGTGTAAGCAATCTCTCATGCAGTTGTGAAAAAAAAATCAATGTTGTCTGTTGATATATCGAAATCAGGGTAACACTTCTGAAATCTCTGTGTAAACAAGGTAAAACGATATAAATACTGTTCATTTTCTTGGGCCATCAATGTGTACTTATATTTACGAGTCATTAAATCATGTTTAATTTGGACTTCTCTGTGCATGCTCTTTGAGGTGGTGACCATAGACCTCCATTATATGACTGACTTCTATTGTGTTCTTTTGAACAGGAAGTGCAGGTCTGATCAGTTTCTCACCAGGGCGTCCGGCGTGTCCAGGTCCATGACGGAGTGGGTGATCCATCTGGCTTGCTGGTCTCGTTTGTAGGGGTCCAGTCGGTGAAAGAGCTCCTCGTATTTATCCCAGTCTGTGTCTCTAGGGAGGGTGAAGTTGAAGTTATACATGACCTGTTCAGCCGTTGACCTGTGGCAGGTGTGTGTGGATGTGTCCCACGCTGGAGAATACGCCACAGGACTCCAGTACTCCTGAAAGGAACAGGAACCCTCTGTTTCCGTTGTATCCACATTCTTCTCCTGCAGGGGCTGCTGGGAAGGAGGCGGTTGTCTTGTGGGCTTCTTCTCAGCTTTTTTGGTCAGACTGATGCAGGTTATGACAGGACTGTGATCTTTGCCATTGGATTCTGTCAAATGACCTGAAGGAAGTAACATCGATTATGCCGCTTTTGCATTATTATTTAGTTCAAGTGTTTTTAGGTTTCTCACCAGCAGGCTCTGTGTTGTTCCTGGACTCCTCTGAGACACTTTGACCCCGATTTTTCACTCCTACCAGTTTCTGGATTTTCTTCAGCTTTCCTTGCGTCTCGTCCTCGCCCTCTGACCTCCTGGGCTGAAATAAAGTGACATTGGGTGATTACAGCACGTGAGGAGGGAGATCGGAGATGCTCCTTACAGTTGACCTCCCTTAATCTGGCTGAAGATCAACACACATGAAATTCCCTAAACTGCTGGGGCTTCTGGGTAATACTAACGCTCCGCCCTTATTAGAAGCCTTTCACAGATGTGCGTTTACTGAGTTCCTCATAATCTGACCTCTCATTTATAATGAAAAATATTGTTCATGTTTGTGACTCTCCTGTTCGAGTCATTTGGTTAATTCAACCAATGAACTGACTCGAAAAAAGATTTGTTCATTTTGATGAACGAGTTCGAACAGGAGAGTCACGAACGCGCATCACAGAACAGAGCAAGGCGAGCATTTGTGCTTATAAAACTTAAACTTTTTTATTTATTTATTAAATGAGCGATCGTTTCGCTTGATAAGACCCTTATTCATCGTCTGGAATCGTTTAAAGCCCTTTGAAGCTGCACTGAAACTCTCATTTGGACCCCATTGAAGTCCATTATATGGAGAAAATCCTGGAATGTTTTCATCAAAAACCTTAATTTCTTTTCGACTGACGTGGACATCTTGGATGACATGGGGCTGAGTAAATTATCAGCAAAAGTTTTTTTTAAAAGTGAACTACTCCTTTAACATAAAGTGTTACCAAAATATATTCTGAACTTTATTTTACCATGTTTAAATTATTATGCGTATTTTTCCGCAAAATTAGAATGGAAAATATACAAAGTCTGGGCCGAACCATAAGTGAAGGCAGTGACAGTACAAAAAAAACAAAAATCATAAAAGACATTTTGTTCACAACTAAGTGCAATGACTGTTAAAAAGCAAGTTGTCAAGAGAAGAAACTCACCAAGTCTTGCTGTTTGCCTTCAAAGTTTTCTCTATTGGGATTCCAGGCTTCAAAATTCACACCCTGTAAATATTAAATAAAAACACCAATGCTGAATTAATCTGTGATATTGTCTTAATGTAAAAAATCTCAGGTCTGACATTGAAAGAATGATAAAAGTGCAATATTACACAGATGAATGACTTGCATTAGTGTAATGGAGAATTTAATCCTGTATTATCGAGAGACGCATCATCTTAAATATAAGATTAATATTTGATGTTTTTTTTTTTTTTTCAGATGAAAGTGAAATTGTGTTGCTGCTGTGATTTACCTGGACCGAAGGATTTCTCTGAGTTTTCTCCGAATTCGCCCGCTCCTCTATCCCTTCTACAGTGAGTTTTGACCGCTGGTGATCTTTGACCGTCTCTAGATCAAAACACAACATAATTTAGCTCAAGCCCTGGATTTATGACGATTCAGACTTTAGATTTAGATGGAAACTTGTGAAGTGTGACCCTGATCACATATTATTTGACTGTCACTGAATCAGTCTGAGCCCAAATCAAATCCTCTGTTTCACATGGGCTTCTGGAATTGCTTTGTGTCGTCACTGATCTAATCCACTAAGACTGTTTGACCCTCGCTGACCCCTAGCCCACCCGACTTCCTCGGCTAACACACACACAAACACACAGCACAGACACGCTGCAGCATCTTTAGACCTCTTACCTGAGTTGCCGTGTACAAAGCCATCTTTTTTCCTGGTGGACGATTCGGTATGATCTGTCAGAGATAATAACGGGTTATTTTAAGAGCAAAAGGCAAATGAAATAGTGTTATCGAGAGACGCTGCGGCCAAGTAGGTCAGCAAGATCGGCGTTTGGTTAAAAATATGCAGCAGAAAAGCTTTTCTGAAATTCAGTGGGTCAAACGCAAAAATCATTTCTTTTTTTTTTTTAATCCTGAAACAAAGCAAACATTCAGACAAAGATAAAGCTTAATGCAACGGGATCCAGACAGACCCTCAAATTATGAATCTGACAGACCTTTAAACTCTATTACACTTGCAGTATTATTAGTATAGTATTAGTCATGTGGTTTACGTTTATGTTCTTAATGAACTGTGAACGCAATCAGCAAGGAATTCAGGGTATACATTACATTTTAAAACAAGTAGACAAACCTGTAGTCTCATCTTCAGATGTCGATAGTATTTGGGACCTGTTATATGAATAAGAAAATGCAATTAGAGAGTGCACATCATTTAACTCTTTTAAGCTTAATCTTAAGAAATGGCTTCTTCATAACCAGCATTGTGAACATTAATGCTGCTCCATTATTATTATTATTATTAATATTAATTTATCATTCATATTTAACTCATAATAATATATTTAGTTTTAGTATGTTTATCTATATATAGTCTTTTTGTATACTATGTTTAATTGTATTTTACAAAGAGTGTTGTTGTAATGTTCAACTCTTTTCTCTAGTTTAGAGCCTAATAACATCTGGCAAAGGGACTAACAATGAAAACTAGCCTTCGGGCTAATTTGGGTACATTTACTTTTAAGAATGTTAATTAATGTACACTGTCCCGTTTTCTAAAAAAATAAATATATAACTAATATGATTAATAAATATTATATATATTCAGTGTATATATACAGTGTGTGTGTGTATATATATATATATATATATAAAAAAACATAACAACAATACAGCAAGATGTATATTATACACCTTTCTTTTAATTTCCCTGTGTGCATTGTTGTAATGTAGTTTGAAGCATTAAAAAAACTAAGCAATAATAATTATGCAAAATAATATACTCTATTTTGTTATACCAATATATTTTTTAGATATTTATATATATTTTAGTTTAGAAAGCTTTGTTGTAGTAGCCTAGCCGTTAGTTTCATGTGAGAAGAGAGTTCAAATCCCGAACTTATTGTTTTTATGGTCAACGAACATAATCATAAACTCATATAACCACAAAAGTTAATGTTTGGAAGGCTGCCAATCGGAAAAAAACAGCAGATACAGAAATAAAAACAGGCTATACGATTGTTACTCACTAGTTCGTGTTAATAGATCATAGAATCAACTGGTGCTTTTTTAAGAGCTCAAGAAGACAGTGACAGAAACACCTAAATAAGTTCCAGTTCAATTTGAATCATTTGGAGCGATTTATTTTTATTATTTTTTTACTTGAAATGATCAAAAATGATCAGAACTAGCAAATCAACGTCTATTTTGTCAATGACTCTCGGATCTATGAGATATAACAGGTTGAGCAAAATTGTCTAAATCAGTTCTTGATCCAGTCTGAATCCAGTTTTTATTCACTGATATTCAGTATTCGGTTTTAAGTTTTATTCTGTATTACATCACTTATTCTGATCAAAACTACATTGAAGGCAGATCATGACCAGTATGTGATGCTGTAACAGGAACAAATCTGATTGGTTTAAACGGGTGGGTTAGAACAGTAACTAAATCCCTCACACTTGCCTCAATTAATATAATCCTAATCCAGCTCTCTCATGAAACAACACAGCATACAGCACGTGATGATCTAATTGGTGACCCTGGCCACACTTACAGTAACTATTACAGGGAAGAGATGTTAATGTTATCATTCCCATAACAGATGTTTTTAGAAATGCATTAACATCAATGTAATTAAACTTCACATAATTGTGAAATTATTTCTATATGATGCATCAAATGTGCATCAGCTCATGTGCGACACCTTGTCTGGATAAAAAGCGGGGATTTTGGTAATTTATTTAAAAAAATAGCATATTGTTTATATATAAACAATATACTTTTTTTTAATAAATCAAATAGGAAAAATTGTACAGGTCTTGAAATATCATTAACAGACCAAAAGATCCAGTACTTACTTTCTCTTTGCCTTTTCCAAAGTCTTATTTTCCTGAGTCTTCCTTGTGTGAGTCTCTGGAAGTTTCTGGAATGAGAGACAACAACATATTTAGTCTTCATATATGATATGGTCATATATGATGCATTAAATGTGCATCAGCTCATTGTCTGGATAAAAAGCATGGGGGAAAAAGCGGGGATTTTGGTAATTTCCTAATGAGTGTGACCTGTTGTACCACACACACACACGTCACTCACAGATTAATCAGCGAATACAGGTGGCAGCACTTTTGCATATTAATATTGTCCTCAATGTCACATTCAACATAACTGTAGTTCAGAGTCTCATGAAATAGCATGTGAAATCCCTTTCCCTGCGATTCTAGGCACGTGCGGATGAACCCACCATGGCGATGCAGGGCTCGGATCCACTCCACACGCCCATGTTCTTCGCAGAGTTTGGGCTGGGTGGCCTTCTGGGTAATGAGTCTTGACTGTTCAGGCCAATCTGGGCTGGTTCGTACAGGCTGTCAGTAGAGCCATCCTGGACCAAACACAGAATAAATAAGAATTGTAAGAAAGACATTTAATATAAGAAGATCCTTGCTAGCTACTAGCATGAATCACAGAAGTAACCTGATTGGAAATACCTCAAAAATGTCAAAAATTTGACCTTAAAACAGTCACTAAGGTTAAGGAGGTAGATAAAATGTGATGTATCATTATTCTTATTTAAAGTAGAAACATTGAATATCTATTATAGCAAAAATTCTTGTAGTTTGTTATGCTTTTCTTAATTTTATATTATTCCGGCTTAATTTATTATAATTTTAAATTTGTATTCACATGTTTTTACTGGTCGATTGTATTTTTTTATTGATTGATTGATTAATTAAAAAATTGATTGTATTAAATCATATACTAAATCATATATATATATGCTTAGACACATAATTTTTACACACACACAAACACACAGCCTAACCCTTTAACCTACTCATCAACTTTCTGCATTTTGACATTTTCAGAAACATTTGTGATTTATAAGCTGTTTTCCTTATGGGGACCAAAACATTTCCGCACACGGAAAAGGATTTCAGATCTTTGTGGGGACATTTTGTCCTCATAATGTAGTTTTTCTTTTTTTTTTTCTTTTTTTTTCATAATGTAGTTTTCCTGAACGTTCAGACGTTCCACGTGACGTTACGGATCCGATCCAGTCGGCAACGCGTCATAGTTGGGGGGCGTGGTCGGCGTGGGTGAAAGCAGCGCGACCATCCTATATTTGAATGACAAAAATGTCATATTGCGAGTCATTTATGCCTGCCGACCGGCAACGGTACATTGCAAAATTAACTGTAATAGGTTATGATTGCCCTTATTTAATTAAAAACTGTGTCAATGACCCAAACAAATGGCCAGAGGTGTCGTTTCCAGACTATTGTTATCTGGTTGAATCTCCAGGTAAGACATCGCGGAAGCTACCGGCGGCAACACAAGCCTGTAACTCAATCAACTTGCGTATAAGTTACTATAGACGAATCCGGCGAAACTACCGGAAGTAAGCGGGGCGCCATTACTGAGCTGTTGCTGGGTAGCGTTGCGCCATTGCATTGTACCTCTCTCTGTCTTGTTTTAATAATCTCTTTATAATCTATTTCACTTTGTTTCTTCATGATTTGCGTAACATTATAAACAGAAATAAATATTTGTTTGTAAAACGACATTCTCTGATAACTTTGTAAACACAGCAGTTATGCCCTTAAAGATGGCGCCTCCGGGGTGGTCACGTGACAATAATTTGCCTGAGGGAACTATTCCTGAGGTGACATTCTTTTCAGCTGTTTTATCGACGCCTTTCTTCGGTTGAATCACCGATTTAACGATTACATGAGACGTGATACATTCCAGTAAGTTGTACGGTTTGTTACATCATGGCTTCTGATGTTTTTTTTATGTATATTTCGTGCTGTAACTCGTAAAGAGGAAGAGCTCGTTCACAGCTTGAACTGAGGCGCGATAGCAATCTATCACTCACGCCACATTAGCGCCAAAACCACAGTTAATTATTGTTTGAATTTCGTTGCAAAATTGACATAAATTAAAATCTGAGACTGTTACATATAAAAAGAAACCTACTCTGTCTTGTCTGTCGGGGCATTGATGATGTCCTCCTCGATGTACCTTTTACTGACTGAGAAAATGAATATGGCCTGAGAACAGCAGCATGAGAGTTGGTATCCCTCGACTATTTTTATTTATGAATGTGTATGTATGCAACCTATGTATGTAATTATTATTTTGATTATATGTAATAATATAATAAAAAATTACATACATATACATACTTTATCATATATATCTCTATAGTTATTTTTACAAAATGGCTGCCTTTAAACAATTTTCAAGATGCAGATGTGTGTCTAAAAGTCTTGCTCCATGATTTTTAGATCTGCTAAACGAAGTATGGATTGTCCAGAGACTTCTCACACACATGTTCAGGAGCTACAGGCTGTTGTTGGATGGATGTATCTAGATTCAGCTCAGGACCTTCAGAGGCGTAGTATTCCTGACCCATGAATAGGACATTTTCCTCTCTGCTGATCCGTGATCTGCTGTAAGAAGCTCTCCGTCTCACGGTAATCCTCACCTCCGCTCAACATGCCCAATCCCAGCCAAATCTATCCAACTTTCTCTAGCCTTAAGACAATATCATGATATCTACATCTAAAATGAGCATTTTAGCAACTTCATCTGGGAAATATTGGTTCGTAGTATAAAGGTATGTTGGAAAATCAACACTAAATCGATTCACTAATCTTTTACCAGCAGATAATCATTTCAACCTGATATGGCAGACAGTGTCAGCATGAATCAATTCAGATCATGAGATGTCAACCTCTTATTTCTTTTAATCATCTAGAATCTAGATAGAATATCTGATGAATCACTCAAACTGAGTATATATCCTGCTGTCAGTATGAGCAAACAAGGAAGCGTTATCTTACCAGAGTGAAGCAGAAGAGGTTCATTGTCCAAGTTTTCGTCTGTGTCTTTGCAGTTTCACACACTTTTATCGGAGAGGGGCATATGTGTGTGAGTGTGTGACATCCCGCACATAAAGAGCGTTGGGATTGAGTGGCTGTTGGGCTGTCTGTGGCCTGACAGATTATTGCAAGTTGAAAATCCCTCCCATAATCCAATAGTGGCAGTGGCCGTCACCGTGCCCCGTCCCTGCCTGTTAATGAGCTGCAAATACCCACCACCTTCCTGCACAAAAACCAATGTGCTGTCCACGTGCCATCATCAGGGGACAGGAGGACACATGACATGATTTCAGTTTTGTTTTTAGGAGTATTAATCAAGTAATGACAGTGAAAAAAGTAGGCCCTACCTATTTTGACATACCATGGCGCTTAATTATTTTACTCAAGTATCATGGTTTTTACTTTTATATTCAAAAGTACCCAAAAAATGGAATAGTACTGGTACCATAACATTGTGGTAATACTGTGGTACTCGACTGCCTTCGACTCTTGTGGTTTTAATTGCAAGACATTAGTTGGTCAGGATTAGACCTATGACCAGCAGATCTATTTTTGAATGACCGTGGACTTAAAGTGCTTTTCTTATGCTCATCCTGGAAAAGTTTCAAGGTTAGTCGGTCACAGAAATTGTGATCAGAATGAAATAGAACTGGAATTTGAGTTTCGGATTGGTACTTGTACAATATGAACGTAATTTTTGGACACATGAGAACTTGATTGGCCACAGATAAAAACAGCTGAGGCTGAAAGTTTGACAGACTGAAACAAGGTCAGAGAGGTGTGTGGGGTAAATATGCCTTTTCATAGGTTATTGAGTCCCAAAGTAGTGTTGTTGACAGTTCATTGGATTTTTCATCTGTTAACGCCCCCTTCTGGTTGTGTGTGTATATGACTACTCTTAAATGTGACGTTGTTGCTCGAGCGACCAACAATTTTGCCTCAGTAGCCTAAAGCTTTTTTGAAGATCCCAAAGTGAAATGTGAAACAAGTGAGGTTTTTTTTTTATTATTGCAACATAGAATATAGAAAGTGATTTACATGACAATACAACTCACAACAAATAGAAAATAAAGGAAAAAAAAAAAAAAAGAAATGGAGAAAAATCATGCCAGGGGTAAAGTTACAATAATTTAAAGTTACAAAATTCTTCATAGGTCTTTCTTGCTTTTTTGTTCTTAATTTTATCTAATGAATTACCCTATATTTTAATCTCTTTCATAAAGAGATGGCTTAGCTTTAACCCATTTTTTCACATGAATGTGATATTTTCCAAGTAATATGAAAAGTTGTATAAGGAAGCACATGGTACTTTTGGAGTCAACATTGTCCTGTACAAAAAAAAAAAAAATACATCAAAAAGCTCAATTCGTAGACATGTTTCAAACAATTTAGAAATGAAATTTGAAACATCCAACCAAAACATTTTTGAATAAATACAATTAAAAAAAAAAGATGAGTTACAGATTCATTGGGATTGCCACAAAATTCGTACAAGTTTTCAATATTCAAATGGAAACGTTGAGAAAGTAAATCCTTGACAGGGTAAATTCTGTACAATTTTAAATGAAACCTCTCTAATTATTATTATAATATCTAATTATTATCTAATTATTAATACAAAACTTACTTGTTATAGACCAAACTCTTTTCCAATTAGTATTTTCAAATTTAGATGTCCAAAAGTGAAACAAATGAGGTGTCGACTAAATGTCACCTTTGAATAGAATATTTTATTTTGCAGTTCAGACGTAATTTTGTCAAGTTACACAAAAAGTGTGCAAATGTTGCTGAGCTGTGTTTGTTTAGGATAAATAAAATGCTAGCTATGACTTCCCCCCCCCCCAAATGCCTAAAATGTTATTTACGATAGAGATCAGTGTTATTTCCACCACAGCATGTTGTGATTTTGGAAACTGTTTAGTTTACCATGGTAAATGTTTTGTTCATTTGAGACCAGTGTGGTTTTAATAATAAGGTTATTTTTATTTTAGGGCTTTCAAATTATTTGCAAATCAAAATATTCATCCAACAAGCAACAAATTGCATGCAAAACCGCCAGCAAGCATCAAAAGTTGAGGAACGTGTTTGTTTATCTGGCTTGTTTTTTATACTCTTCCCCACTTGAGGTCGTTGTTGCTCCAACTATAATTTTAACATAAGACCACAACCACTGTTTTCAAAGTTTTGCATGTGTGCAGCATGTTATGCTACGTTATGTCATAGTAATAATTGCTTTTGATAAGTTCGGATAATATGGTACTGGCTTATTAAATTGTTTTTGGCAACTAGTTGTACGAGTGAGAGATATAAAATAAGAACCTTTGGTCAAATCTCTCCGCCAGAGATGATCTGAGAGGTGAACGAGGGAAGTGGATCTCTGGAGTTTGATAAATGCGAACAGACCCCAGAGCCACAGATGATGTGTAGAGCCGCCACGGCATTGATTTTGTCTGTCCTTGTTCAGAATTCGTAAATTGTTCAGTCTGGCCTTTGCTTTTCACATTAGCCCTATAGCCTTGACTCAGATCTGAACCGAGAAGCTTGTTTTTTTTCTCAGATTGTCTCTCGGATGATGAAGAATATAAATGAAAGGTGATCTAATAACAGATATGATTATGGTTTGTCTCTCAGGACCCCATTTAAAGGGATAGTTCACCCAAAAATGAAAAAATTCTGTCATTAATTACTCACCCTTATTTCGTTCCAAACCCGCAAGACTTCATGTTTTGAACACAAATGAAGATCTTTTCTGAGGTTTTTTGAAGTGGGAATCCTTGAAGTGCTTCAGGTCACTAACGTACATCCAACAACCGAACATTTTGACTTGCCCTCTTGTAACTTCCGCATCATTGAGCTCGGACTACAAAATCGGAGCGAGAAATAATAATGGCGGATTGCTCGAAGTGTTGGACCGGTAGTCGATGTCATTATTTGTCAAATACGGTGACGTAATAGTTTAAAAAACGTAACAGAGAACAGAAAAATCTGAACAGGTTGAAAAATATGACCAAAACAGAATATAAAGATATAAACAAAGCACCTGAAGAGAATAATTTCATATTTTCTGTACTTATAAACACTCCAAATATACAACAAAATGCATTTAAGGGCTAAAAAAGTGCATTTTGCATGATATGTCCCCTTTAATGTTAAGGGTAGGGATTCAATTCATAACCCAGTCTGTATTTTTTTTACCAATGCTGTTCTTTCACCCCGTCACACATAATGCATGTCTCCGAGGTGCCTTGGCAGTGTTTAGTCTCTCTGATGAAGGATTACGCAGTCTAGCTGGATCCTGATGGAGCAGAAATGGTTTCAGGAGGAGACGCAGACCGCAGTTTGATCTGCACCGGTGTCAAAAAGATTCATGTGCAGGAATGATTCGAGCTGTCGTTCGTGAGCCGGACTGCTGGAGAGAAAGAGAAAACATCAATCCATCACCAATATTTTTGAGGAACAACATCATCTATCAGCTCAAGGGCGTCACACAGAGTTATTTTCTGGTGGAGGGGAAGATTTAGAGTGTATTGAGGCTTCTGTCCTGATAACCTTTCGGGAGGTGAGCGGGATGAGGAGGGGACATCACTCCCTCGGGCACCTCGCATGCCTGTGCTGACCTTTGAAACCCTGTGTGCACGGAATCTGAACCCAAAGGTCGCGACCTCTCGCCCTCCTTTCTGACCTGCTGAATGTTTGACGCCCTTTAGTCAAAAAGTGAAACAGTTTGCCTCCTGCGCCGGGCGACCTCTCGCCCTCTCTCGTCCCACTAAGGTATGAGAGCACGTTGACCTCTGTGGCCTTTATTAGCTCGGCCTGTTATTAGTCTCGCAGCACGTCGGGCAGAATATTTTACCTCTTATCTTGAATTTTAAGTTCTTCAAACACAGACTGACTTAAAAAATGTTGCAGTCAAAGTCAAGATTTGCTTTTATCTGCCGAGATAAATGAATCCCATGGAGATGCTCTTTACAGTTAGACTGACCGCTTGCTGAGGGTCACCAAACTCTGTTTTAAAGGACACTGAATAATAATTTTGAACCGCTCTGCATAATGCTGACATAACATGGATGGATATATAAAGCTTTTTTAATATTCAATCAGTATTTTAGGTTGCAATTTGTCATTTATGCCGTAATATATTTTGGGGTTTGTATGATTCTTTAATGTTTTTTAAAGAAGTCTCTTATGTATGGAGGTGTATTGCATTGCATTCACTCGAGGAAACAAAATTACCGAATTAACGTGTTAATTATCTCAGAATTACAAGATCATTTTTCATTTTTGCTCTGTTTTTCTGAATTAATGAGTTACTCCTCATTTTTTAGATAATCAAGTCATTAATTCAGAAAACAGAGCTAAAACTTTTTTCCACGAAAAATGATCTCGTTATTCTGAGATGATTAACTCGTTAATTCAGAAAAACAGAACAAAAACTTTTTTCATGAAAAATAATCTTGTAACTCTGAGATAATTAACTCGTTAATTCAGAAAAAACAGAGTAGATTTCGTGCAATACACTTCCGTACTTGTGCCCACCAAGACTGCACAAATACAGTAAAAGCAGTAATGTTGTGAAATATTAATTATTTTATTATGTTAATATATTTTAAAAAATGTATTTATTTCTGTAATGGCAATGCTGAATTTTCAGTCTTCAGTCACATGATCCTTCAGAAATAATTATGTGATTTAGTGCTTATTATTATAAATGATAAAAACAGTTGTGCTGCTTAATATTTTTGTGGAAACCATAATAGTATTTTTTTTCTTCAGGAATAGAAAAAAAAAATAAGAAAAAAAGAAAAGTTTAATATTTTGTGACATTGCAAACATTTGGTCAATTTAATGCATCCTTGCTGAATAAAAGTTTACATTTCTTTAAAAAAAAAATTTTATTCGAAAGCTAAAAATTACACATTACATGAATATTACAAGATATAAAAACAATAATCCTCTACTTTCACTATCTGGTGTATATATAGTTGTCATATGGCTCTTGATGGAGATTATCATTCTGGTTTCTGGGTTCTTACAGCACCAGAAAATACACGATATTCCACTGAATTAGAT